CAGCCTACAGCCAAGCCGCTGCTTACAGCCAAGCCGCTGCCTACAGTCAAGCCGCTGTCTACAAACACCCTGTGCCACCTGTCCAATCAAGTGCTTTCAAGACCTCGTACAAAAAAAAATCGAAAGTAAAACGACAGAATTTTAAAACGAAATAATCTATACAGGATTAAACAGAAATACTGTTTTGGATCACAAATAATATCGAATAAAATAAGTTAAATAATTTGTGACGAAGAAATATGACACAGATTAAAATCTCATTCAAACTTTAGGGGAAATTGAATGGTCACACAGATAAAGAAAATTTTTAAAACTGCAACACACACGCAATGGTTGAATATTTTCTTGAGAAAGAGACAAAGAGTAAAGTCCCATAGAGGGGATAAGCACGAGTGAGCGAGGCGGAAACAGATGCAATGTTCATTAAAGAGGGTCAGTGTAGGCCACGGGGTGTAATACTCCCCTGCCCACCCGCGGCGATCTTGTGGTCGTCTTTTTAATTTGCGTTTGGAATTCAGGGCTGACCAAAAGCAAAATTGCAAAATAAAACTTGCTCTTTAAATTTGATTACTTGATTGATTTGTTACTGGAGGGTAGGACCTCTTGTGAGTTTTTTATTTATTTTTTTTATTGCTTAGAGGGTTGGACGAGCTCACAGCCCACCTGGTGTTAAGTGGTTACTGGAGCCCATAGACACCACAACGTAAATGCGCCACCCACCTTGAGATATAAGTTCTAAGGTCTCACGTATAGTTGCGTCCACGCGGATAGGTACCACCACTCTGCCTATTTCTGCCGTGAAGCAGAAATACGTTTCGGTTGGAAGGATGGGGCAGCCGTTAGCTTAAAATTAATTATTAGAGGCAATCCTTTTGCAAAATTATGCTTAACTAGCGTTTATTTTATAAGAAAGCTCCATTCCCTGACTTAATTCTTTATGGTTCACATGGGTTAAATTGAGAAGTTAAGAATTTTAATTTAAAAGATAAGTGGAATTATCGGGGCAAATTGCTGCTTCTCAGTATATCAACAAACCGTTTTATCTTCTAACAGCGTCTAATCTAATTTTTGTAATAAAGCTGTTTTTCTTAGTTTTCCGGCGTTGATCGGCCCTGGAATTCCGAGACAGCATCGCCGGGAGGCGCGGCGTCTTATCAACGAATTAATTCTAGACTAACGAAGACAGGGAGCCGCCCCGCGATTAACACAACCACCCCTTGGATCTAGAGTTACAAATATTCAGACATCTACTGTTCAGCGAACTTATTCGTATAAATAAGTTTTGGTCTCGTATGAACCAATTACGAAAAGTCTATCAATTTTGGCGGCGGAAACCAATAGGTCTATATGATTTTTACATAGAATACGGAAATGGTTTTTGAATACACGACTATTAATATTACATATTTTTGACGTGACAACGTCTTATAATTCGATGGAGCCGGCTGCGCACACGAAAAAACATGACTCATTGAGGCGTTCCATTTAAGGCTTGAAGTGCAAGCGAGAGCGCGCAATGGGAGACAAAGAAGCACAATCGACCTCTGCGTTCGGCAGCGTTCGACATCTGTCTCTCTCCTACGTGAGTGAGCGATGCATCCGCGTGGACAGCTGCCATACAATAATACATTTACATGTTTTCGTCAAGTATGAAGTGCAGTGAAAAGTGAATGTGGTGTCAATTGTCCATACAAAATAAAATTTTAATTTTCTTTTATATGAAATCATTCCATCAGTATTTTCTGACGTTGTCACGTTCAACTATCATCAGTAAACCGACTTTACAGACAACCGATTTTTTCAATAAAATTTAAAGCACTGAAAACTTTAGTTACATGTAAATAGCATATGTAAATAGGCACGTTTTGCTTCATTATAGGTAATAACTTCAGTTGGTTGCAACATACACATTAACGTATACATGAAACGCTACTTAAGAACACATAAAGTTATACTGCTTGGTACTGCGAAGTAATTTCGTACTTTAACTAACAAGCTACAGTATTTATTAAACTATTTAAGAATCTGCTATAAAATAAAAGATAATTTCAGTGATTAAAGATTTGAATAACTTAAACGGTTTAGTTTCGATGGTAAAATTTTAACGATCTAGATACATATTCCTTATCCATACTTGGGTTTAGCAACATAATGTAAATAAATAGACTGATTCCGTGGTGCAGTAGTTAGAGGCGCTGACTTCTGCGCTAAGGGTCGTGGGTTCGATTCCCGCATCGGGCAAACATGCATGTGATGAACAAGTTTGCTCTTTTTCTGGGTGTTTATTATCTATATCACGTCGTTACGGATCCATCAGATCCCAATAACCCTTACATTAGAGGTCTTTAGCTCTAACAGCAGGAGTAGAGACCCCAGTAACCGTACTCGTCGAACTCGGCAAAGGGTTCGACGTGCAACCTAACCTAAACATCAGCCCGCTGAGTTTCTCGCCAAGTGTTCTCAGCGGTTCGCGATTTTGACCCGGTAGTAGATTCATTCGCGAAGCAGCTACCCTTGAGTTTTTAGTTTTCCTTTGGAGGCACTCGGGCAGCTGTTAGCAAATCCCAATCCTGATTAAACTGGAGAGGTCTTCCTCATTAAAAAATAATAATCTATATTTAAACATATTTAAGTATGTTTACCAATCTCTGGTCCTAAATTGAGGTCGGACGACCGTGCATGATTTGTTCCCAGTTGTTATTATTATCATTATTTTTATAAAGGTAACCAGTTGTAAGCTAACCTGTAAACCAACTAGTAACTAATTTTATAGCAGCGTTATGTCGTTATATTTTACGCGCAGCGTTTTATGGTGTTAGCTCTAAAATTACATAATTACATATATTAAAGCTACATATATACTCTGAAATTATTTTGTTAATTCCAATAAAGTTATTTCAATTAATCAATACAATGCAGGTGTAATGAAACGTGATCTGCTAGACATGTTTTTAATTGTTTGTCATTTAGACATTTCTAAAACATTCACTTGATTGAGTTGAAATTTTGTAGTCATTGATGGTACTGCTAAGAAGGTTTTTGCTGTATTATCTTCAACGGGCGGTAGGTAACAAATTGGTCGTTTTTAATACTTAGCGATGTCAACGCTGAATGTGGCCTTTCTAGCTTTCTAGTTTCTAGCAAAACGAATTGTGATTACTGTCGAAAATGTTCGTTCGTCGCCGATCTGGAACAAAAAAATGAACTTGACTTTCAGAGATATACATAAATTAAATTAATTAAATACAATTAGCACATGTTTATCTCAAACACACTTAAGTGAGGTGTTCGAGCAAGATCAATTAACACGATTTCAATTTGTTGTTTATTCTTTATGTTTTTATTTTTTTTTAATTTGTTATAAACTAACTTTATTCATCGGTTTTTGTGACTCGTAGGCATAATTAAAAGCACCTTTACGATTTAATTTCGCTTTTTTTATTATCATTATGTACACGCCCCAAGCGACTGCTACGGTGGTGACCAAGAAAATTGTAAAGTAAGTAGAAATGTCACGAGTAATGTTATTATAATAAAAGACGCGAAATTAAACCGTAAAACTAGCTTTCATTAGAACTTTATTTATTTCGAAATATAGTTTTTTTTTCGAATAATGAAATAAGCATCTTGTAGTGATAATCGAAAGGGAATCACGGATATCATAAAATAAGACCATGTGGACCGGTGAGGTAGAGAGGTAACAAGTAGTGATGGGAAAAACCTAGCACGTGTTGTGTTCACAAAAATAATGCTTTGCAAACCAGAAAGTTCGAAAAGAGCTGAAGAGAGGAAAGGATTGATTGGAGTTTTTTTTTTTCATTAAAATTGTTGAACCAAAATCACGTGCCGCCTCTGCGGATAAATAGCTCTGCACTTCAAGGTCCGAGCGGGTGGCATATTAAGACGAAGTTGGAAGTAAAAAAAGGCGAAAAAGAGTTTTATATTCTCTCTCGAATGGGAAGAAATAGGAAAACCTTCTCATTTAGCCCACCAGTGCAAACTGGGGAGTCGTACAGAACAGACTGGCCTCCTTGAAAATTCCAACTTAAAGCTAACTCAGTATTGTGGTGTTAATTTACGAGTCGCTAAACTGTGTTCAGACGAAATTAGTTTTGTGGTTTGTGATCCGACGTTACTACGAGAAGCGAAACTTCAGTATTAAGTGTCAAATAAGCAAGTTATGTTTGTAGTGCGGCTTCAAATGTGTCCTGTCATTTCAATGTTATGTAGAGATGTTTTGAGTTCTCGTATAACCTGGTTGGATTTGAAAGACCTTCAATCTATGGTACTGTGTTTGTGTTGATTTTTGTTTATTGCTGTAGTTGGCAGTCTGGCTGACGTCCTACGTTATGTTAAGTTGTTAAGTCAGAACATGACTTGCGACTTGGGGTCCAATAGTGGCTGCTGAAAACCGGTTCGGCGGTTTGCTAATAGAAAATAGAGTGATTTCGGCTTAAATTTCGTTTTTTTAACTTACTTAATTACCAGTACGGTTCTGGGCTATTCTGGTCTCACCGGACTGGTGAGCTATCGGCGCTCGGTCTGAGCGACTTAATCTAATCAACTGCTAATATCTATTCTAACAAGAGCAGTGCGTCGCTGAGTCTACCACCGGATCGGAATCGCGACCCATCGAGAAAATCCGGCGAGAAACTCAGTAGGTTGTGTGTGTTAAGTTGCACGTCGAAATCTTCGTCGTATTCAATTAGTTTTACACAACAATACTCCACTAGAGGTCCCTGCAGTAGTCGAAATTCGACTATATTTAATTGGAATTGTAAGTTTGTACACTATTATGATTGTATTTTATACTTCTATAATCACAAATTTCGCCAAGACTACACTACAAAAAATATTAACAAAGACAAACAATATTTAATCTATTCTCAATTTGACAACAGACGTCAAGAACAAAAGTTTGACAATAAATAGTATGCATGCGTGTGTGCGTCAAATACATGGTATGTAGTGTGTGTAATGTTTTCNACATCCACTTCAAGTATGTAACGTAGCTGAAGCATCAGTACCAGCTGTACCGCTTTTTGCGAATGTATCTCCCAACTGCAAACCTATTGCTATAAAGTCTCGAAGGCACAACAAAGAGGATAGTGAATTTATTAAAGAAGAAATCAGAAACCTTATAGCAGAGGGCGTGATTGAAGAAAGTAAATCACCGTGGAGGGCCCAAGTACTAACAAAAAGCGAAACTCATAAAAAACGCCTTGTAATTGATTACTCTCAGACAATTAATCGTTACACAGAACTCGACGCGTACCCTTTACCAAACATTGAGGACTTAGTTTCGAAAGTGGCAAAGAATACAATTTTTAGCCTAATAGACCTGAAAAACGCGTACCATCAAGTACCTATATTACCCGAAGAAAGGAAATTTACCGCTTTTGAAGCACTGGGAAATTTGTACCAGTTCAGGCGTATTCTTTTTGGAGTAACAAATGGTGTTTCGAGCTTCCAGCGAACAATCGATTGGATTATAAGAAAAGAGAAGCTTCAAAACACATATGCGTATCTTGATGATATAACTATTTCTGGCCGTACTCTTGAAGATCATAACTACGATACGATCATAACTTAGAAAGTTTTATGAATGCCGCAAAGAAATACGGTTTAACACTGAGTATATAAAAATGCAAATTTTCTCAAAAGTCAATTAATATTCTAGGCTATAATATTCAAAACCACATAATTAAACCTGACAATGAGCGACTCAAGCCACTGATAAATTTACCTCCACCAAGCGATTTACCGACCTTAAGAAGGACACTCGGCATGTTCGCACATTATTCCAAGTGGATTCCAAAATTTTCTGAACGGATCCACTCACTTGCTAATACGACGATTTTTCCACTCACAAGCGAGCAAATTAAATGTTTCGAAAGCTTGAAAAATGATATCGCAAAGTCTTCTATACATGCAATTGATGAAAATATACCTTTTACAGTGGAAACTGACGCTTCCGATCATTCCATTGCAGCAGTACTTACGCAAAATTCTAGACCAGTGGCGTTTTTCTCAAGAACGTTAAATTCAAGCGAACAAAACCATTCCGCCATTGAAAAAGAAGCGTACGCCATTGTGGAATCATTGAAGAAATGGAGACATTTCCTTATTGGTAGACACTTTAAGTTGGTAACTGACCAACGCTCGGTTTCTTTTATGTTTAATATGAAACATTCAAGTAAGATAAAGAATGAAAAGATTCAAAGATGGCGACTGGAACTTGCTGCTTTCAAATACGATATTATATACAGACCGGGGAAAGAGAACTATGCTGCTGATGCACTATCCCGAGTTTGTGCCACTGTAGAAACACGTACTGCAAAACTTTTCTCGCTGCATGAGGCTCTTTGTCATCCAGGGGTAACAAGAATGTTTCACTGGGTTCGCTCTAAAAACCTTCCCTATTCTATTGAAGAAGTCAGAACAATGACAAAATCTTGTCGAACCTGCTCTGAAATAAAACCTAGATTCTTCCGAAATACCTTTGATGACCAGAGGAAACTTGTTAAAGCGACGGCTGCTTTTGAACGCCTTAGCATAGATTTTAAAGGACCAGTTCCAACAAATAATAATAACAAATTCATACTTACCGTGATTGACGAATTTTCACGTTTCCCGTTTGCATTCCCATGCTCAGATGTAAGCTCGAAAACAGTGATTAAACATCTTAACAACTTGTTTATGATATTTGGCATGCCTTCTTACGTTCATTCAGATCGCGGAACAGCATTTCTTTCTGCTGAAGTACAGGAATTTTTACATGTTCGAGGTATTGCCACTAGTAGAACTACAGCTTATAACCCTCAAGGTAACGGTCAAGTAGAAAAATTGAATTCTACTCTTTGGAGAACGATTCTTTTGGCCCTGAAGACGAAGAATCTTTCGGTAGAAAATTGGGAACAAGTATTACCACAAGCCTTACATTCAATTCGATCATTACTTTGTACAACCATAAATTGCACTCCACATGAAAGAATGTTTAGACACCCTCGAAGATCTACTAACGGCACTTCTGTTCCATCGTGGCTTACAAATTCTGGACAAGTCTTGATGAAGAAATTTAATCGTACAAATAAATATCAGCCATTAGTAGAAGAGGTTGAATTGATACACAGCAATCCTGACTTTTCATACATTCGGCTTCCAGATGGCCGAGAAACAACAGTGTCGAATCGTCATCTAGCACCATTGGGTTCAGAAAGGGTAGATCTGCGAATAGATAATGAACACACTATTGATTATCATAACGTCGCAGAACCACTTCCGGAAACAGAAGACCAAAACTTGGAGATTCCTTCATCCAATGAAACGGGACCTGTGGTACTTGATAATAGCAGAGAGCTAGAGACAGAATTACCATCATCACCACCGCCGGAGCCAACACTTCGTAGATCTGGTCGCGTCCATAAAACGCCAGGATTTTTGAAAGATTATATTTTAAAATAGTGCGGGAGAATGATGTAAACTTCTTAGTTGAAATTATCAGCCATAAGTTGACGTCATTGTCAATCTGTTTTATTCGTTATTTGTCAATGTATCTAATGTAATCAAAGCAAATTTTACTGTTAATTTTAGCTTATTAAAACCTTATATTCAGTAAAGGTTTTCTCTTATTTCAGTACTCCTTAGTTCTATACTCCATGTTTAATATGCAGTGAAAGTAGAGCTTTTTAGTTTTAGTTTTATAGCTTGGTACAGTGGAGCATAGGTTTTCGCGAAACCGTTGGAGTGGTGACCACCACCATAAGAGTGATGATTTTGCCAGAAAGATATCGATCTGTAAAGCTAGTCGAATTGAAGTCTGAATAATTGATTCATGAGCAAATCGAGGGCAAAAAGATCTACCTATAAACTCCTCTACATATTCTATGAATGTCTACTTTTTATTGCGTAGATGGGAGAAAAGCTCACAGCATGGTGTTTAATGGTTGCCGGAGCATAAAGATATCATAATATAAATACCACCACCCACTTTGGAGATGATCGAAGGTTCAATTATAATTTATAGCGCCTAAACAGGCACGTTCCATTTTCTCTTCTGTCACATACTCTTCGAACCAGAAAGTACAACTGCTTCTTATCAATTAAATATTATATTACGTGTCTCCATCTATAAATAGCAGTTGGCGATTGAAGTACGCTGGTATATTATACCGAGAGTGAAATTTATTGAGAGGAGAACATTGGAGCTTACGAAACCCACGAGAAGAAATGCATGGTGCTATTCTGGGCCGAAATCACGCAGCCAAACACATTAAATGTGTCTGAAATTAATTAATTATAATTTTTTTTTGGGTAATCGCATTTTTATTAAAAAGAAAACTTTAATTTCGATTCACAATTCGGGAAAATGAAACAAAGCCGCTGGACGTAGCTTCTAGGGATCCTCCAACAAGTCCAATGAAAAAATCTCAGTAAATGACCACCATTTTACTGGGATTATATTTCATCCCACATCATCTCGCCTCATTTCATTTAATTTCATCCCAGTTGATTAATGTCTTAAATTAATCATCTTCATTTCATTTCACTCCTCAATATCATTTTTCATAAAATTATGAATATAAATTAAAATGAGATATGAATTAAAGGTCTTAGGTACCAGGTCATAAAATCCCTTAAAAAAAATCAGCTCAATAAGTGTATTATCTATGCATCAGCTGAAGTCTGCTGAACAAATGAAGTCACGTTGTTGTTTTCGTGTTGTTTATTTTATTCTAAAAGTAGTAAATACTATACATTGACGTTGTAGATGAAACAATAAATCTTTTCGTAAAAAAACTATGATTTAAAATGGATGCTGTATTTGATATGTGTTATCTATCGGGAGCGGATGGTAATAATGTTGAACCTAACGATATTCCTAAAACAAAGGAAAGTATCTGGGTACTGGGGAAAAAATACAGTGCTATACAAGGTATGATTTAAATTAGAATTTAACGAATATACAAATAAAATTGATACACTACGTAACTGAAGAAATTTATCTATTTTTGTTGAGTATTGACGTTCAATTGCGTCTAAGAATCGTCCACAATACTTGTTCACAAAACTTTTTAATTGTAGGCTTAAAAACTCAGAGCAAAGCTAACTTATTTAAAGTTACATAAACAACGTATTCAGTCTCTAATTTGAATTTGAGACATGAAGTAAATCACTATACATTACCTTGATTAGAACTATTTAAATTTTTTTAATGATTTTATGAATTGTGTGTCAGAATGAAAATAAATATGCTAAACTTTCCTTTATGGTCCATCGATTTGAAAGTTCAGATTTTAATTCTGTACGTAATACTCTTAAATAGAAAGCTTTTTGTAAAATTTCAAGTTATGAAAACTCATGGCTTATGAGATATATTTTTTTAGTTTCTATAAAAAAAAGTATTCGTCAAGGTAGACGTCAAAGTTGACATTTTACGTTCCATTCACAGTAGATGTGTATCTTATTCCAATTCATATCATGTTTTTTATCTAAATATATTTTATTGTTTTAATATATTCCCATATTACATTTGGTGCAATTAATGTGCATAGTGATTGTTGCTGTAGTATGCAATTATATTGTATTTTTACACAAAATTAACTAATTTTTGTTTACACTATGGAAAGGAATGTGAAATGATGCACTTTTTTATAAGATCTTTATATCTGTCTGTAATAAAATATTTTTTTTTATTAGATTAAATATAACATTAATAAAATTGCTTTTTTCTTGGACATCCTCGTCAGCAACATTGCACTCCCTTTTGTCCTTCAGTACTACATTTTTCCACATTTAATTAGATTAAATAAAATTAAACAGAAAATAAATGTTCACAGATTTGGATCGTATTAGAAGAGATATCACATCAATAATATGGTGTACGTACAGAAAAGGCTTTGTACCAATTGGTGATGAAGGTTTGACTTCTGATAAAGGATGGGGCTGTATGTTACGATGTGGACAGATGGTATTAGGTGTTGCTCTTGTCAGAGTACACTTATCTGTTGACTGGGTATGGTCACCAGAAACAAGGTAATTGTATTTAAATGATTGCAAAATAGTTAATTTTCATAATACTTCTTTATCAATTAGTATCTTGTTGAATTCTTGCAATTTCTTTTAATAAATGGAGTTAATTTTTATAATGTTGTGTACCTTTATGTAACTAATGGTGAAAGGTCTCTATTTCACTTTATATTATTATTGAATAAATTATAAAAAATTTGAAGAATTAATTATAAAATTTTACAGGGATCCAACTTATTTAAAGATCATACAAAGGTTTGAAGAAAGGAAACAAGCACCTTATTCTATCCATCAAGTGGCATTGATGGGTGCCTCTGAAGGAAAAGAAGTTGGCCAGTGGTTTGGACCTAATACAATCGCTCAAGTTTTAAAGTGAGTATAGTATTCCAAAATTAAAGGTGAGATATGAAAAATCTCGAATTCTTTAGGTGTGAAAGGTTAAGAGGTGATATAAAGGAAATTTAGCACTGAATTGTTTTTTCCCAATACTTTGTTTCCTCTGTGTTTATGGAATATATTTGTAAATATAAAAAAAATACTAATGAATGCCAACAATAAAATTAATTTTTATCAAATACATTACACATTAATTGGTATGTTTTCAGAAAACTGACTGTGTATGACAAGTGGAGTTCATTAGCAATTCATGTTGCTTTAGATAATACTGTTGTCAAGGAAGATATCTGTAAGCATTATGGACAATTTGTTTATTTTCCAAATAATTTGTAGTTTCATTGTTAATTAATTAATTATATAGCTATCATAACTCTAGGATAGGAGATTTAGATGTATAACAATTACAATACAGTTTGAATTGATAATTGTAGAGGAAATTTGACAGGATGGCCAAATTCACTCTTAGGGGCTGCAACTACTTGATAAAACAATTAAGGTTTTCTGTTTGCTAAAAAATTTAATTTTATATTTTTTATTGTTGCTGTTGACAGTCTTTAGTGCTATCAATAGTTTTATTTATTTATTTAGTAGCAAGTTTTTTTACTTCAAAATGTGAATAACGAACGGGAAACGTAGTACATTAGAACTAGAATGTTGAGGTGTAAAAGATTTTAGCCAAATTTCCACAATAGGGCGAACACTATTTGTCATTAATATCTTTTGATTTAAAATTGTATAATACCTACATTATGTTTTTGTAATCTGTTCGTTTTTGTTTCAGTGCAACAATGTTTAGTTAACAATGATAGAGGTGACACTTCTTCAGCGCCTGACGGTGTGGTGTCAGACTGGATGCCTCTATTGTTAATAGTTCCACTGCGGCTCGGACTTAGCGAAATTAATCCTGTCTACGTAAATGGATTAAAGGTGTGGTTTTCAGAGCACTATTCCTTACTACTAATACTGGTGGTAGGACGTCTTGTGAATCCACACGGGTAGGTACCACCACCCTTCCTATTTCTGCCGTGAAGCAGTAATGAGCTCGGTTTGAAGGGTGGGGCAGCCGTTGTACTGTTAAAACTGAGACGTTAGAACTCACGTCTCAAGGTGGGTGGAGACGTTTATGTTGTAGATGTCGATGAATTCCAGTAACCATTTAACCGGGACTTTTTCACTTAACTAAATCTTTTTTTTTAAATTAAAAAAAAAATTTGAGTAGTAAAAACAAATTTACATTTGCATTAGAAAGTGTACTCATTTCAATTTTATTATTATATCACATGTAACATATATTTAGTACAGTAAAAAAATCAGGAAATGTTGTTCATATAAAGATTAAAATAAATGCATATCTTTCCCTAGATGTGCTTTCAATGTCCGCAATCGATTGGAGTCATAGGAGGCAAACCAAATCAAGCTCTGTACCTGATTGGTTGTGTTGAAGATGAAGTTATTTATTTAGATCCCCATACAACTCAACGGTCTGGACTAGTTGAGGTAATGACTTAATAAATATTCATACAAATTTACACTCGTTCTTTGTTATCCTACCTTCAGATATATTTTTTAAATAAACTACTAGAAATGTATTACTTGCCGTTACTTCATCATCATTATCCTGTCCTTCTCCCAGTTACCTGGGATCGGTGCAACATGTTTGCTCCTTCCATACTCTTCTATCATATACCATTTTTTCGCTCACTCCCCTCCTACCCATATCGTCTTTCACACAATCCATCCATTTCTTCTTAGGTCTACCTCTTCCTCTAAATCCTTCCACATTCATAGTCAACACTCTCTTAACAACCTCATTTTCATTTCGTCTCATCACATGTCCATACCATCCCAAACGCACACTCCTCAGCTTCTCTGTCACAGGTGCCACTTTCAGACTTCCTCTAACGTACTTTGCATTTACTTGTGTATGTAAATTTTGATTGGCTATCAATCATGAGCCCTCATGAACACATGTCTCTTAGCTTTCAGCAAAACTGAGATTAGCAGCCAAAGCTCAGACATTCGCATGAGTGGCAACCTATGTATGCAGTCCCACTTTCCAGATTATAAATTACTTATATACTTAATTTAATGTACTGAAACATGTTTTCGTAGTAAAGAAATGTATTTTGTTTATTGGATAAGCCCATCTGGTGCTATTTGTATTTTGGTGCCTATAGACATCACAACATGAATGTCACCAACCACCCTATAACATGTGGTCGAGGTCTCAATGTGGCGCCATCTAAGCGAGTTTCAGATTCCCTGCCTGAGAGAAGCCTGTTGGCCGTGTCCGATGACCACCAGTTTAAAGAGATTTTACCGTTAATTATTTTAAGTAAAAGTCTATTAAATTAATAGACTTTTACATAGATTAAAAATATTTAATTTTTTTAGAGTAAGATTACTGACGATCAAAAGGAAATGGACTGTACATATCATTGTAAATATGCATCTCGAATACCTATCCTCTCCATGGATCCTTCAGTGGCGGTGGTAAGTGATAATTTTTTTAAATACCAACTCGACTAGTACGAAATTAAGCTATTGAATGCGTTGCTACGTAGGGTTACATTACATTAACTAACAGAAGAATATCGGGCTATCATAATTTGAATGTGCCACTTTGAGAAGGCGGCACGACATGAGAACCCTCTTGTCGTGGCCGCCGGAAACTACATACCCGATCCTGTAAACCGAATGGTAAACCGTCGACGTCGCCCAAAGCACGTCATTACGGATCCTCCTGATCCATTAACGGTGCTTTTAGGCACCACAAGCACCGGTCACCGTCCGCGTCGAACCCGTCGCTTGCGACGAAAGACTCGACGAGCGAACTAACCCATAGACACAGCCCACTGAGTTTCTCGCCGGATATTCTCAGTGGGTCGCGTTTCCGATCCGGTGGTAGATTCTGCGAAGCACTACTCTTGCTAGGGTCAGTGTTAGCAACACTCCGGTTTGAGCCCCGTGAGCTCACCTACTAGTATAGTTTACGCTGAAATAGCTTCTCAAGGCTATAAGCTTAGGTAGGAAAAAAATAATTGAAGTGTACTTTCCCTGGTGGTTAAGAGATACTTGTACCTATGGCGATGTTCAGATTTCGGGCCGGTTATTCGAAACAAGACAGCGGTTTAGCTGTGCCCCTGGCTTTCCTGATATCCATGAGCGACGGTAACCGCTCACCATTAAGTAGTCTGCATGATCGTCTGCCTTAATGGGCATTAAAAAAAATCTACATACAAGATATATCGTTTCCTGTTTGAAAATGTCATTGCAGTACAACTGAGACATGCGTCAGAACGACGGTATTACTGTTGTGTATGGTTTCCAATTAAAGCAATTAAAAGAAAATAAGTTTAAGTATGTTCTATCAACCTACCAAGCTAACACTACAATAAATAATTAATGTTTTTTTTTCATGTATTTTTTTAGTGTTTCCTTTGTCGTACGAGAGGTGATTTTTATGAGCTGTGTGAAACTATAGAACAGGAGTTTATGAAAGAAAGCCAACCATTGTTCGAAATATGCGAGAAACGACCGTCGCATTGGGGACCGAACACAACCGACATTGACTTTCAAAGCACTTCACTCTTTACGGGTAAACTCGGATTTGTTCTTGTTTATTTATTCTTAAACTAGCGACCTGCCCTCGCTTCGCTTCGGAAACTGTAATTTATTATTGATTTCTTCACTATTTAATGGATGTTATTATACATATAAACCTTCCTCTTCAATCACTCTTATCTATTAAAAAAACCGCAACAAAATCCGCTGCGTAGTTTTAAAGATTTAAGCATACATAGGGACAGACAGATATAGGGACAGAGAAAGCAACTTTGTTTTATACTATGTAGTGATTGTTGTTGCTAAATTTATACTTGTTCTTCCAGAGTTTGAAGACGTGGACAGACAGTTTGACGACTCCGATGAAGAATTCGAAATTCTTTGAAAAACGCAGATAATGTGGCCTTATTGTGTAATTTGAACATTACGAAAGAGTATTTACTAGACATTTTTACGAACCCTGTCACAGGTTCGCTATTTTTTGTAATCACTAAACTAACAATTCAACGAACTATAAGCAGATTATTTTTCTGATAAACGTGGTAGGCTCTTTAATTGAATAATCTTTTTGGAATTCATTGTCACCTGTTTATGTGTAGTACCAAATCAACATTTGAGTCTTCTGATTTTAATTAACTCACATAATATCTGGTTTCGTGTAACTCATAAACACGAGGTTTTTTTTTTTAATATTTGAGTCGTCTATTATCAAAGGTGGCAATCTGTGCATTTGGACAAAACATTTTTATTGATATGTCAATACAGATTTATTTGAATATAATCGTCTCCTTCAAAGAATACGGTTCAAAACCTGCATTAAATAAAGGTTAATAGTTAACCTGTTATTTATCTAAGATGTCGTTCCGAAGAGTTTTGTGACTGCCAATGNTTGAATATAATCGTCTCCTTCAAAGAATACGGTTCAAAACCTGCATTAAATAAAGGTTAATAGTTAACCTGTTATTTATCTAAGATGTCGTTCCGAAGAGTTTTGTGACTGCCAATGGAATACAAAGTCAATAATTCGTTTTTCTGATTTACCAATCATTGTCCAAAAGTCAGATTGCCGCCTTTGATAATAGTCGACTCATTTGTATTATTTATTATTATGAATTATTATTATTTACTTCTGCATAAATCTGTATTAAGAGTTACATAATATGGCTGCTGTTTTATTCCTATTCAGAAGGACACGACGTCACCTTGAGCTTAAAATTGTTAGACCGAGGTCTTGTCCTGTTCGTCGGTAAGGAAAGAGATACAATTCTATAAACAAGGGTCATTTAAAATATGAAACTTGCATTGTTAAATTATATTGTCCTGGAAAGGGTAGATACAATATTTGAAATGCTATATCATTTAAAATTTATTATAATTTATTTGTTGACAACTAATAGAAATTCTTATTAGTTTTATCTTTAGAGTTTACAACTCACACCAAATTTGGAGAATTTTTGGTTCAACCCGGTAATTCCTAAATCGAGTATAAAAAAATTTTTTTTTTTGGAGGTTATGAAGAGTCTTCTCCTATAACCTCCACGTATGATCAATCAGGGTAAATGCAAAAAGTTTGCAACTAATTACCCTGTAATTGTTATGCAATATCGAGACATGGTATTTATTATAGTTTATTCAGGCACTCTTACGTTTCTTATTGATATGGTTTTTTAAACTATTAATTTGTTCATTGCAATTTTAACTCGCACTGTGTGTCGTTATTTCAATATTAACATAATGAGAATGCCAAAACTGTTGAGTGATTTAGCACGATGGATTTTTGATAGAATAATTGTAAACTTTGTAACGTTATTTTATATTTACGAAGACGACAGCACTATATTTAAGTAAGTACTAGAGTATATTATAAAATCGTAGTACGCGTATTTTCTTAGTGCCGAGTGCATAAGCTGTTGTTGGATAGTTTGCAGTGCCTTTAAACGCAACAGTGACTTGTAATTTAGATAAAATTATAACATTCCTAATTTCGGAATCGTAGTTATATTATGGTTTATTTAATTTTTTTAGGTATGTCTAGTCAATAATAAGCATCTGATATTATTATAACTCGGATCTTCTCTTTTATTTGTTACATACGTCGCTTTGCTGCATTGTGTCTCCCATGATTTCTAATTTTAGTTAATTATTAGATAAAAGAAATTGCCGTTCATTTTATTTAATTACATCTTACAATGTTTGTTTTACATATCTATGTGTCGCATTATTTTATTTCTAAAGTTTTACTCGGCAGTGTAAAAATGTAGATATTTAAATAATGGAGAAAATGAGTCAAATGTACTATAACATTTTTGTATAACTTAGATAACTGCCAAAGACCTGAATATTTTTGTATTAAAGGGAAATAATATTTTAACTGTGTTTTATTTACATGATACCTGTTAATGATTATTTATTTTGTAATGAAACAAGTCTTTAAAATTACCACATTTACTTATTTATCGAAAATTATTTTATTTTATTTGGTAGGTATGATTATTATTAGGTACGATTTTATTTGGTAGGTACGAGGTAGACTGAATATGAGTTTCAAACAGGGACGAAAGAATTTAGTAGGTAATCAAAGACTTCATTATCATTAGGCATAGTATACTTGGAAATAACAATACTTGAATTTTTTAAGGATAAATCTTCTTACTATGGCTAATGGTCTTTATAGATAAAACTGTGTTAAAAAAAATATTTATGCGGGTACGCACATGGGTTTTTTTGCGCTCACCTAGTTTACCTACTAACCGATAGATCGCTTGCACACTTTCCATTTTCGTCAATTAGATACGGGAGTAAAAGCCTGTAATATTTAATTGCTAAGGATAAAATCTAGGTAAAAGTAAATTCATTCCCAACATACATGTACATGATGATGGCGATAAGGCGTTGGGTATTAAAATTGTTTTTTGGTAAATATTGTCGAAAGGATTGAACTAATCCATAGTAAAACCCAGCGTAGATAAGTGGCAAGGTGCGGTACCTATGGCATGTATCTAGAGAAGTTTGATAAAATTTAACCAGTTCCATGTAGCGCGTTAAGATGATTACTTTATTATTAGATCAGAAAAAAAACTGGTTCTTTTTATGTAGGTACTTTTTTAATCAAATATCCGCCAAAAATTCGTTGTGTAAAATCTGTCCACGATTAAGCGATTCGGTAATGTTTTTGATAAGTCCACAATAGAAAATAAAATATTTATGAAAAACTAGTCACGGGGAACAAAATCCGCACCGCAGCCAACTAGTATTAATTTGCAGTCCATAAATTACATCTCATTACCGCGATAGAGGAATTAATATATTTTATGTATGATTCATGCCAAAGATAGAAAAGTCATAGATAACCTTTTGATCATGCAACACTTGTAGGTTTTCCAATGAGGTCAGCAATAATCAATACACAGTTTGCAGTACAAAAATAATTTTAGCAGTATACATTTTTTTATTTGACACCAATGAATTTCATAATCCTATTGAGATGACAACATAGATAAGTAATTTAAGATTTTATGGAAATCTTACTGACACTGTTTACTATTCCTATGGTATATTTGCATAAAGTTACGAACAACAAAAATAACAAAAAAAAAATGACTAGCACCACAGGCAACATAATAATTATGGGGGCATTGTTTTTACTTAGCCAAAATAATAACTACAGTTCAACAACATAACAACAGTGTTAGTAAAGAGCAAAAATAATTACCTATCTTAGCAAATTCAGACGATTATATAAATATTATATATTGTAAATAAAGTTGAATATTGTAGTTAATGTACTTTTCAGACAATCAGATGAAAAATATCATGGCTTTCATGAATATAAACGTCCAAAATATTTATTATATAAGAAATAAATTTAGGAAAAAGTGCATTTTTATAGCATTCTTTTATATCTATTACAACATTCATTATCATACAACTGTTTTCATACTATATATTATTAACTACTTGTACACAAATATGACACCTGATAATGTACATCAATTTATCTCTAATGTTGTTGAACAACTTTTTTTTCAGAATATCTTATCATCAATAACATCAAATAGATTTATGAAAATCTGCATACACTTCACAACCATCCATAAATTCAAATATTAAATTTCAAAAATATATAATTAGGTACATGCACATCCGACATTATAAAATATAAGTTACTCTGGTCTAAGTAACAAATTTACTTTTTAGTTAAAAACATTTTCTTTAAACTTTATTTTCAGAATAGTTGCTTTAGTAAAAATACATTTAGCCTCCTTCAACTTCATAAAACATTAAATGTATATTATGCTTATTTTATTAATATGTTTCTTCACACAAAAGAAAATTTGCCACATTAATGTTTTTAATTTTGGGGTTTTTAGTCATTAATTACTTGTCCTCTGCATATTTATTTATTTACAATATATGTATATATAAAAACACTAGGGTAATCTTTTAGAAAATAGTATAAATTTTTTACTGGATGGAAAGATTCCAAATAAATACTTCTTCAAATGCACTATGTATTCATGGTAAGATACTGTATTAACTTTTCAGAAGGTATTCTTTATAAGTTATCATGGCTCTCAATTGCTGTAATTGTTCAAATTGCTCCAAGTATGAGACCTAATTGTTATCAGGCATAAAATTTCTAGAAAACTGTGAAAAATGTACCTTGAAATCTCTTACGAAGATCTAAACTAAGGAATAAAATTACAATTTCTACTGAACTCCTGCGATGGTTATATTGGTATTTAGGAAGTTTATGACCAAAACTGTAATATTATCAACTGATCCTCTATAATATGCTTGTAGTGTTAAACTTTTTGCCCCATAATCTGGTTCATCAAGTCTTTCTTTAATAAATTTCACAGCTTCTTCATTGGTAAACGTGTCCCAGAGACCATCAGAGGCTAAGACTAAGAACATAGGTTTATGATCATTTAAGTTAAAAGTAAGTATATCTGGATCTGCTATGACAAATTTCTTATCTTTGAGTGGGTAATCACCCATAGCTCTTGAAGTAGCTAAGATACCTGCAACTCTCCAAACTCCATTATAAGCAATGTAACCTCCTGCTGCCTCAATTCTTTTTTGTTCCCTTACCTGAAATTACAACATTACATTTAAATCTTAAATATTTGCTTTAATAACATTATTTATAGACTAATCTTAACAGTTTTAAGTATGAGGGATAGCAATTACATTTACCTGTTGTGGTTTATGGTCAAATGAGACAGGAATAGCATTGCCTCTCGAGTCACACATGACTCCCCTGGAGTCACCAACATTGGCCACTATCAGATGATTATTTTCCATTATTGCAATAAGGGCTGTAGTGCCGGCAACATTCAAAGACTTCTTTGCAGCTTCTACTAGTAATCTATCTGCTGCTAAAACTTCATCAGTCAATAATTTTCCATAATTAATTTTTCCTTTGTCAATATAACTAGATAATGGTATGTTGATATTCTTAACTGGCTTAGTTGTGGTCCGCACTTCTCGGGTGATGATTGGCCTTGCTTTAGAAAGCTGGGCAAGCAATTCAGGATCTGTTATTTCTTTTTTTGATGTATCATCTGCAGTACTAACTGACTTTTTGAAACTTGTTTTACGTTCAACATTTTCCTCTTTAGGTGCATACTCCTCAATAATTTCTCTAGATATATCAGATATTTTACCTTCTTTGAAAGCGTTAAGTTCAACAATTTTGTTGTAAAGATTCTGTATAAGATGGTCCTTAGCATAGTTAGCAGCAAACTCTCCGCCGTGTCCATCGAATATAGCGAATAGTGATATGCCTGTGTTGTTTACATTTTCGTTTATTATAAATCTATCTTCCATGTGCATTCTTCTACCTTTGATTGCGTAAGCAGCACTTAGCGTGCCTTTCAGTTCCCAACTTTGCTTGTCTGCATCGGATCCCTCCATGAGTTTCATTCGTTGAACAGCGCTCATAGGATTCATCGCTTGCGACAGTCTGCTTAGCATTGTTCGACTCCATAATTCTATACTTTGAAGATACATTAAGAAGATCACAATAGCTAGTGTGATCACAACTACTTCAGATCGCAGAAAATAAAGACGCACCATTTTCCATAAATAGCTCACAGGAGCGTCAAGAAAAGTGCTACTGGTGAATCTAGACAATATTTTTACGAAAGAAACGTATGTTTGATGTAATACTCTGTCTTCTATCTCGTCTTCCATGTCCCCGTCAGAATTACTTATTTACACAGTAGAAGGCTTAATTAAACACGTTTAATACACTTGATCAGCAGTATTTTTTGTATACAATATAAATACACCCAATCAAAATCAAATTCAATGTCTCGTTTTTTTTTATACAACTTCTTTACGGCCATTTGTTACTCAACATTTTAGCCTGTTTCAATTGTAAAGTGGCGGGAATTAACTTAGATTTCAAAGTGTTTGTAAAAACACCAAGAACAACATAGCGTGTTTTTTTCGATTTCCTCACATTTTTCATTTTCTAAAGTATTTATTGGTTAATAGTCTACTATTATTATACATTTAAACTACACGAAATATTAAATGGAGACTATACTTTCCCGCTAAGTCTGTTGTCCAAAGTTGTCCGATATTTATTATTGATCTGACTGTTCTTTTTTGTTTTCTATTGTTCTGAATTTTACTCTTTTAGCCGAAATTCTTATTTATAATTTTTTTTTATTAGTGAGTGGGTATTATAAAATAAAGTTTATGTATTTCAAATTAAATATAATATAAAAATGTCCCTTAAATACTAGGAATTTATTGTTACGTAAATTAATTTGTTGAAAGAGCCCGATAAACCGCCGCTAACGTGTTTGTGGCATTTTTCAGTTGTACACGTTAACAGATGCTAAAGTTCATTAGCTGTAATAATGTAATGTTTACCAGATTTAAATTTTTCTTAGATCTGATTTTTTTTTGTATATTGCAAATCGTTTCCCATTAATGCTAGTATTGCCAGTGCTGAACAGTACACTTGAGTTCTTTTTAAGAACATAGACGGACGGATGAACTCACATATATCTTACCTGGATCTTGGGCCAGTTACTTTAGAACTGAATCCTTCCAGGGAAAAAATTAAGACAGTAGCACCGACGCACACAACTGTTCTGACAGATATCAATACACAATAGGCGGAAGACGCAGATGTTAGCACTCTCCCAGGCTGAGCACCATGGCTCGCTTAAAAGTTCGATGAAGCTCTAGCATAACCCCGGAGGCAAAAAAGAGGAAAGAGCACAGGAAATTAATATCTGAGCCTCCTCGCGTCGTTTTCCTCATTACTGAGGGTCGAGACTCCCCCGCTGCATCATTTTCTCCCATACGACTTCCCTCCATCTGCCGCGATCCTTTGCTTCATGAAGGGAATATCTGAGCACACTCAGCTTATTATAAAATTATCGACTATTTTGTCAAGCCAAGATCGATAATTAGAAGTTAAAATTCCCGAATTTTTGGGGAAAAATTCAATTACAATATGTATCAGTTTTCTACATGTACTTACACACACGCTATACTTTTTTGAATTGATTATTTAACCTTAACCTATTATTCAATTTTATGTTTCTCCTATTTATTTTGAGATATTAATTTTGTATTTAGTGTCGATGTTAGCTTAAATTGCCTCAGTTGGTTTCGGGACAAGAAAAAACACGTTTATTTTATAAAATGTATTAAAATGGTGAAATAGAGATTACATTAAAGTATTTATTTTAAGTATTAGGTATATATTTCTTACAGGGACTATGCAGTATTAATTTTAAAATTTCAAACCAACACTTTAAAATATTATAAATATTAACAGAAGCGATCAAATCGAGTATTATACTTGTTCATCATTGCCTGAAACGAAATCTGGAAGAGTCAAACCAACTTTTGTTAAATGTAAATTTAATCTATTTTGTGAACATACTTTCAAACGCATGATATACGTGTGTATCACAGTGATGATACAATACATTAAAAGTACTGCATGGGTCACAGAATATATTATTATAATAAAATTTTAAATTAATTTAAGCAGAAAAAGTTAAACAGCTTATGTTACTTATTGAAAAACGCGCTGATTTATTAGTATCGGTATTCCAGAGAAATAATTAACAACTTTTATATATATTTTGAATAATATCTCTGTGAACGTATATATTTGTATAAATGAACGAATATTGAATGAATGAATTCCTTTTCAATACAATTACGGAGGGTAGAGGTAAGGAGAACCGTCTTTGTGTGTGAAAAAGTGTCCGTTAAAATCAGCTAAATAAGAGTGGCGCTACAGTAGCAAACGGGTAAATTTAAAAAAAGTTATTAGAATAAAATAGAGAAAAAAGGACGAAAGAACTGTAAGCACTACAAAACCACAAAAATTCTTTTATTTAAAGCTGATAAGAAAATGCAATCGATGTCTCCACGTTTTACTACAGCAATAATTTTAGGTTATATTGACGAAATTCGTTTGGGTCTACGTAAACATGTGGAGGTCTTGTATATTACACTGTCACTAACTACTCTAGTCATTAAATATATTAAATTTCATAGCTCAGCATACTTCAATCAGTTAACAACTGCTCAATTCATATCATCATACCCTGTGCCTATGCTAGTGCCATTCTGGAGGATTTTTGAACTGTTATTTAGTGCTGAAAGTGGGACACTTTTCCAAGCTTCTCCCATATGAGACGGTTCTCCTTACCTCTAACCTCCATAAATACAATGCAGACAAATCTCAGTTTGGGTAGTTTGACAATTATGTTGTAATATATTATTATTGTGTGTATTATACTATTTCAAAGTTTATGATTTTTTTTAAATAAAATTTATGTGTAAAAGTAATACAATATACTTTTCTCCAATCTTGATGAAATCACATAATTTGTACATACACAAATATAACATGATACTATTAGAATAAAACTTGTTATCTATTGCAAAACATTAAAAGCAGCAGTGGATTAAAATTCCAGTAAATCATCGAAGCCATGCATTAAAATTAATTTATAAGCAAAGAGTGGAATGAAAGTAAAGTTAGCAGAGTCTTATAAGATAAAATAAATTATGTAATACTGTATATAAAAGAAAAACACAGAAAGAACATAATACGATTACTTATGTATCGATTAACTAATTTTATTACATTACAGTCCTATATGATTATTTGAAAAACACAATTAAGTACGTAGAGAGACAGAGAAAATAGTATTATAATACATTTCAATCCGTGATTTTACACATCTGAATATTAAGAAAAAAATTAATATATTTTTAAAATACATTTGACAGTAAATACATTCTAAATTTTTACCTATTATGTTGTACTGTAATTAAATGTCTTAGAAGTGAAAAAATGTAGAAATTGTAAAATTTTAAGCCTTATTTCTGGTTTTTGAATTTTACAAAAACAAACTAAATATATTTTATATTCACATTAGTTTATGGTAATTATAAAGCGATTTGTAATAAGCACACGGCTTGTCACATATTATAGAAAGTTAAGTTATCTCTTACAAAATTTACACAAAACAAACAAAATAAATTAAAACAAAAATACAAAATTTGTTCATATAAAATACGATAAAACTTAGAAAAGATAGAAAACAAAAAAACAATTCATCTTTGTTACTTACAGTATTTTATAGTCAGATATATTATGTGACTGATATAAAATAAAATCAAATAAAATAAAAACATGAAAACTGGAACAGAATTTGTACAGGGATGGAATGAATTTATTTAAAATAAACAACAATAACTTAAACGCATGTTCTTCGCGTGACAACAAATTCGATATCTATTACGGGAACTTACAGTTGGCAAAACCAACTTTCCAGGATGAAAGATAATATTTTATTCACATTTATTCATAGTTACCACCAGGTAGGTAACATTTCAATTTATTTATGTGTTGATATTAATTTGGATAATAAGAACATTGATGATTGATATCTTGGTATTATTCGAAATATATAATCTAAGTCTACATTACAAAATCACCATTATTGGTTTTCTTTAGATTAAATCAATGAGTAGTTCGATTACTTCATTCGAAGTTTCTATTCATATAATGTATTTCGAATCACATACTATTTACTTAATGGTTTCTAAACGATTAAGACGAATCAAGATCTATCGATTATAATAATTTTTTTACGTCAATAAATTATTATACTTTTAGGTAGTTTTGTGTAGTAACGTTATAAGTAAGTATTAATTGCTACTTTTTGTGCTCTTGTTTCAGCTGGGTGGATCGAGGTCTACTTATAAATTATCGATTCGAATCGATTGCTATCGATTATTATGATAAAATCAGATCTAAAAAAACATTGTATAAATATATAAAAGTCATGGCACGTCCATTATTCGGAAATTATATTTAAATTTTAGATTGGAAACTGCAATTGGCGAAGATCGATATGAAAAAAAAAAGTGTTATGTTGTGTTTTTTAATGAGACGTTTTTCGATAATTTTCAGTCTTTGTTTACATTTAATATTTCATTTGAGAATGTTTATTGTTAGTTTGAGATAATCAATATAAATATTGAAATATACCGCATTGCACGCTGCAATTTGTTTTTTTGAATATTATAAGTGTAAATATTGGTGTTATAGTTTTAAATTGAATATGTTCTAAAAGTATGAATTTTAAGTTCTTATTGTCACAATTATTAGATTATAGACAAATAGATCATTAACATACTACAAAGTATTGGTTAACTTGCTATTTTTTACTATTATTATTATCAAGACAATCCAAACTAAGGTTTTAAGTTTTGTAACGATTTTTACTATCATTTCCTATGTTCGTGCAGCTACATAATTGATTTATTTATCGATGTATCAATTGACTTTGTTCATGTCGCCTATATTTAATTCAAATAACTATATTCTTCTAAGATACAAGTTAAGAAACTATTGGTAAATTGGTTGAGTTAAATTTGTGTTTTGTTTATTCTTGGCAATTCATACATTGCAAAGACATCTGGCCCACTGACGTTCTCGCCGGATCTTCTCAGTGGGTCGCGTTTCCGATCCGGTGGTAGATTCTGCGAAGCACGGCTCTTGCTAGGGTCAGCGTTAGCAACACTCCGGTTTGAGCCCCGTGAGCTCACCTACACACGTTAGGGTGAAGCTGAAATAGCCTCTCAAGGCTCAGCATAGGTAGTAAAAAAAAATAGATGTAGAGATTATTTTAGGAGGTTAAGCGTTACTAGATTCGATTTCTACACCGGTGACCGTGGTACTGAGGGTCCCGTTGACGAGTATATCGTGCAGCGGCTGTCCGAGCACGGACGACAGGGAGTCGCTGAGCTTGTAGTAATTACTTTCGAGAGCTTCGTGGTACGACGTCTGGTCGGAGTTTATCAGTTTGGCGTTGAGTTGAAGTGCTGAATGACACACCGTCAGAAATTCTCTGTTGAACAAAAATTAATCTTTATCAAAAATCATCTGATGTGAAACAATTTTCACTACTGAAGAGTGAATTAGATTTCAAAACGAAAAAAAAAAAAAAAATTCTAAGGTCGTTTAAGAATTTTACATTTCATATTAAACGGGCTTAAACTAGATTTTTTTGCACTATAGGTTTACAGTAGGCATAGGCTTGGCTTTCCCATTCCATGGGCGACGGTAACCACTTCCCATCAGGTGGGCAGTATGACCGTTTGCCTACAAGAGTAATAAAAAGGCATATAGACCTTCGAAATAAGTAAAATACACGACCATGATAAATATAATATCTTTGCAAAATAACTTCGACTAGAAAAATGTATGGAACGTTTCAAAATTTGTGAGATAAAATTTCGCAATTAATTTTTATCGATCTCAGTACATTGTATCGTAAATTGAATAATTTTTATTTGTACTCACTTAAATATGGCTTTCAATTTATCGACCATCTCATCGGGGTACATGTGGACTAGAGTTTGATCTAAGAATGCGTTCGCGTACGCCAATGGTCCGGCGTTTACTTGTACGCACACGCTTCCTTGCAATCTGAAAATTTTATTATTTTTTATTATTACATTACGCTGTTACTATTATATACGTAAGTCGTTTGTGAGTACGCTAGGTACATTATTTACAAAGGAAAACTGTTATCAGCTCTCAAGATTTGAGCTCTAGACGAATACACTGGACTTCTTATCCAGTACAACACAAGTTCTTGGAACAATAGGATATTTCAACATCATCACTTTTTTAATTAGATACATGAGTGAATGGGCATTTCAATATCGCCATACACCTTGAAATATAAGGTTAAATTCGCAGTGGTATTATTTAGGGGCTGTCCCATTCTTCAAATGGGATTGCATGATTGCTTTGCGGCAGAAATAGACCGAATAATGGTACCTACTTGATTCGGCTCACATTACGCCTTAGCACCAGTAAATGGCGGTTTACCATAGCAGTACGCTAATTTAATATTCGGAAAAAATAGATTGTGTTGATTGGTTTTCTATGTTCATAACATTACGGACATTGAAACGCTCGTGTTCGAGAGAGACAGCAACATATATCCATCTCTGTTTTCGGAACTGTTTTCACAAACAAAAAAGAGTTATTAGCTGTTGTGTATCAACAAATATAGGCAAGAGATACCTTAGTTGTAGTTTCTTCAGATCTGGAGATTTCGTGTTGACAACTTCGGCGAGTTCAATTACTTGACTCTCCATCTCGGTGATAGCGACCTCTATAGGACTTTTCTCTTCAACTTGCGTCTCGATCACGGGCACGCGACGTTTTACGTACGGAAACCAGTTTTCGGCTGCAATAATTATAAAAAAAAATTACGAAGGGTTTTCGATGTTTTTTGGTATTTATTACACCATTAGCGAACACAGTCTACAGTAATTTCTGTTACCCGGATGAAATAGCCTATGTTTGATTACAATCGTTTTTAACTAATGCTATTTTTGAAAATCTAATAGTAGATAGCCCACTGAGTTTCTCGCCGGATCTTCTTTCGCAGTGGGTCGCGTTTCCGATCCGGTGGTAGATTCTGCGAAACACGGCTCTTGCTAGGGTTCGTGTTAGCAACGTCATCAGGTTTGAGCCCCGTGAGCTCACCTACTAGTTAAGGCGACGCTGATATAGCCTCGCAAGGCTATCAGTTTAGGTAGGAAAAAAAAATTGTAGAAGTGGGGAAGTGTTCCCAAAAATAGTACTGGCTGGTAGACTGTAGACTGCTAGATTATCTAGGAAATATTTTTTTGCTCATTTTGTGGACTTTTAAACAAAGTCTAAACTAAATGTCAAATAGCAAGTATCAGTTCCTTACATTGTAAAGCATCGCTAAATTAAGAAATTCATATCACGATAAAATGTATGATACAAATGCAAATAGTTATGTATCGCAACACGACATATTATTGTAAAGTTCATTATTTACTACGTGGGAATGAGGCGGTCCGTTCTCGGTCTTTTCATATTATTTTTAAATGTTTACTTTTTTACATTGAAAACCTTGTTAGTATGTAAATAGAATAGAACATAAAGAGCAAGCTGAGATTATTTAGCCGGTTCTTCTTGGCTCATATTGAAACCGGTGGTCGTTTTGTGATTCATCTATACTAATATATAAATCTACAGTGGTTTTTACGGATGTTCCGTTATAACTACCGAACCGAGTATCCGATTGACTTGAAACTTGGTATCCATGTAGAAAATACATATACTTAATGGATAGGCTATAATTTTAATGTGTTGGACTCCCTACACCAGTTGCGGGGGCCTTAATGACGAGAATCTTTGTGGGGGTGCGAAATAATAATGTTAATTTTAAATGCCCAGCGAAGCGGACGTGTACAGCTAGTTAGGTATACATATAATGATACAGAAGTTGAATTATATTATTTTAATTCTATCATCCAGAGTTACCATCGCACCGCTCGCCAACGAGTACGAGTTCATCCATACTACCTGGAGCCACTGCGTTCATCCACACTGCGTTTCCAGAGATATTTTTTGCCAAGTATCATCCGGCTTTGGATCGAGCTCTTCTCCACGGTGTTTCCCGAGTGCTATGACATGTCCTTCAAACGAGGCTTGTGGAGAGTATTAAACGGTAACAACGGCCTGGCTTTGTCCCTGGCATTGCTGACGTTATGAGCGACTTTATCCACTCACCATGAGGTAGGCCGTATGATTGTCTGCCTACAGGGGCAATTTTTTTTTTATTGCCCTTGTAGGGACAATTTTTTTTTATTGCCCTTGTAGGCAGACGAGCATACGGCCCACCTGATGGTGAGTGGTTACCGTTGCCCATGGACTTCAGCAATGCCAGGGGCAGAGCCAAGCCGCTGCCTACTGCAATAAAAAAAAATCTATTCAATATAGTAGATTCACCTGTTAGATGCGTCAAGCGCAAGTGCTGTTCGTGCACTGGTCCGCGGGCCGCGCCGCTGCTGGTGAATGGTGTTTCGAAGACGAATCTGCGCACGTTGTGGACGCGTTCGAACGAGCTCTCCGCGCTGGAGCCCGTCGTGGTGACCCCCTCTGGGGCCGCACGTACCCATGTAACTTGAATGTAGGCCAGCTTACTGTCTAGTTCTTCGCGATTAACCTGAGTTAAAGCATTAGATTAGTTTAGGTTCACATAATCCTCTAGATCAGTGTTACGCAAACTATGGGTCGCGGCCCCTATGTGGGCCACCAAAAATTGTTGAGGGCTGTTCGGCCCTTCAAACCGAAACGCATTACTGCTCGACAAAAATAGACAGGGTGGTGGTATCTACCCGTGCACTAACAGTAAGCACTAGCACTAACCAGTGGACTAACAAGACGTCCTACCACCAGTAATATTCGATGTACGCGGTCAGTGCATAGCTGCTTCTACTTACGCCTGTTCGCTTGTTCCTTTTATTGGATAGTATTACTATGGATATACTCTTCAGAAAAACAAATACAAAAATATTATCTTGTTCTACACTTTCGAGTGACCTTGTACCCGCAAACTAGTCAATATAATTTAAAATGTCGTAAAAACATGTATGGACCAGGCTTGACGATGAAGTAAAAAAAATTACACCATAAAATATTAAATTAGAATTCGTTTTGTTCTTTATATCTAATTATTTGAATTTACAGTAAACGGTAAAACTACATATTCACATTTTCTTTCACACCTCTTCATTGTTCGTCTGTAGGTTGTCTAGAAGAGATCGCTTTCAGCTGTAAAGCTGACCATCAAAATCTCTCCTGAATTTATTTGTGATATTTATAGCATTTAATGAAGCCTGGTCTACACTACTGTCCGCAATGCTACGCGTTATTAACACCAGCTCGAATAGGACACCTTTTTTTATATTGCTTAGATAGGTGAACGATCTCACAGCTCGCCTGGTGTTAAGTGGTTACTGGAGCCCATAGTAACGTAAATGCCGCCACCCATCTTGAGATATGAGTTTTAAGGTCTCAGCATAGTTACAAGGGCTTCCAAGCGCTTCAAACAGAAACGCATTAAACTGCTTCACGGCAGAAATAGGCAGGGTGGTGGTGCTGACTCACAAGACGTTCTACCACCAGTAAAGAAGGCATAAAGAAGACAACACCGATAATAATATGAAATTTAAACGATTTAAGATAAATAACCTTAATATGAATAGCTGATAATGTCATACAATAAAACGTTTAAAAACGTGGCCTTTACAAAGACTATGAATAAATTAAAACTATTCAGATAATGGTGTGTAGTGAATTATCTACAAAAACAAAAATTTAGGTCTACAAATTTAACTCTTTTTCAAGGCGGATGTAATATCTATCTACCTATCTATTTGTTATGAACGTATGGCCTTATATTAATAGAGCATGGACATTTAAAAATTTTAACTAAATATATAGTAGTTATTGAGGAAAAAGACGAACAGTTTGTGGTCGTCCACTGAAATTTTCATATATTTGATTTTAATCAAACACTACGAACTATTACTGGTAGTAGGTCCTCTTGTGGGTAGGTATCACTACCCTGCCTATTTCTGCCGTGAAGTAGTAATGCGTTTCGGTTTGAAGGGCGGGACAACCGTTGTACTGTACTGAGACCTTAGAGCTCATAACTCAAGGTGGGTGGCAGCATTTATGTTATAGATGTCTATGGGCTCCAGTAACCACTTAACACCAGGTCGGCTGTGAGCTAGTCTACCCATATAAGCAAAAAAAAAAAATTTTCGGTTTGCTTGATAATGGTTAATACAGAAATATAATCATGTGTTAGTGTTATTTACATATATGTATTAGTAGTCACTTGTACTGTATAAATTACTCACGGGCGCCGAATCCATAATGATCTTAACGAAGCCGCAACCGAATTTTTGTTCGTAAAACGTTTGGAGGTTCTCGGAAATTTCGCTGAGCGACGTCAATTTAGGTTCCTTGTATATGAACTCGACGCCCTCTTCGTCTTCACCGAAATGCGCTTTCCCAAAGAACGCGACACGGTAAAACCTGCCCAGTAATCTTTTTCCTGAATTCGTGACTTCGATTACTTTAGCGTATGCTTTAGTTAAATGCTGGTAGCATGTTAAAAGCGCTTGATAGTCCTTTCTTTTCTCGTAGATCGGAATGACGAGACGATACAAAGGACCCAGGAGTTCGTAACGCTCCGCCTTGTCAGCACAATCTGCGCATATCAACAACTGATCCAGCAATGCTTGTTCGTTGTAATGCACGTCAGCCATTCCTGAAATAATAATGCCTTTATTAAATGAGTGCTACTTCTTATTGTATTTTTTTAAAGGTACTACATTGAGCTGTGAAACGGAAAACAAATAATATTTTAAAATTGTAGCAGCAATTATCTTTTACGTGAAATACCCCCCTTCAATTCGTCCATGTTTTTTAATATTATATGTAGACTAGCTGTCTGTACCCGTCCGCTTCGCTGGGCATTTAAAATTAACATTATTATTTCTCACCCCCACAAAGATTCTCATCATTAACGCCCCCGCAACTGGTGTAGGAAGTCCAGCACAACATATAAATATTAGCCTATCCATTAAGTACATGTATTTTCTACACGGATACAAAGTTTAAAGTCAATCGGATGCATAATTCAGTAGTTATGACGGAACATGCGTAAAAACCACTGTAGATTTATATATTAGTATAGATATAATGTTCCCGGACATTCTTACTATTAAGTTCTAGGTTCTATTAACTAAATTCATATTAATGTTTTCATTTGAAAATTAAATGACGTTAACACTTTGAAGATTGATCCCGCAGACCCTCTTTAACAGCCTATGCGGTGTATATCTATTTAAACAGAGCAGAAACTACACGAGTCGCAGTCGAAAACGGTCCGCGAACGCGCGTACCAATGTACCGCTGATAACAAAATTAGCTAAATCGACTCGGCTACATACGTATCAAGCATGAAACTATTCTCGACCGTATGGTTTCTGTTAGTCGTTAGTTGGTGCTCCGAAAGTACGCCCACGAGAAGGCTCGTCGAGCAGAATGTCGTGTCTGACAAGAGTCTACAGGATACCGATTTGCTCTTAACGTTCGTGGTAAGTGTTAGGATGAGTTTTTCATCCTGCCACGCATTCGTAGCGTGACCGTGGTTCCAGGTTACGAATCATACATTCTTTGTATAGCATTACGATAGGAAATTCTGTTATAAATGCGAATTTTTTTTGTCAGGTATTTCGTCATGGGGACCGTACACCGGATCAAGAAGAACTGGCGTTGTTTCCGTCATCTACACAGGGCAATAAAGACTTGTTCTACCCTTACGGGTTGAAGGCATTAACAAATGTAAGTGTTATGACTATTATTATAAAGCATATCACAAAATCTAGTATTAAAATATCATGGAATTAAATTGTTTTTTCACGCAAAAACCATAAAATTACATTCGAATCGTGTTAAAACGAAATGTTTAACAATAAATGTGTTTGTATTTAGATTATTTACAGATTTGCGCATCCAATAACTAACGGATTTTGTAATATGTATGGTTCACATTTTGCCAAAAGTATAAACGCGATTAAAAGTAGAACAATCTATCCTAATATTAATATTATAATTATGAAAGTTTGGATGTTTGGATTTTTGTTACCCAATAGAGGGATGTTCCGCAAAAATTGGGGAATATATTTGCATGGAATTTCACACAAAGATAGTTCATAATCTGAGCTAACACAGGATCCTTTTTATCACGATAAATGACATGAAACAGGCAACGTTAGGTATATTTACAATAATAAATAAATACCATAAACCATACCAATAAATACCATATGTTTTATGACACAAGCAACTTTTTATCTTGGGAAATACGTTTTATTGATCTGAATTAGAACTTTAATGAGGGGGAAATTGCGTGGTACGTCTAGTATTTTGTATAAAAACAACAAATTTCTACATAGCTTTGATATTTTGCTCTTAGTTTTTTTTGTAAGCATGATGCTAAACGACCATTAGAGCCCTAATACTTGTTTGATGGGCAAAGAATTCGTGGCTCAGGTTAGCATACTCCATCTTATTATTGATAGCTGGACAAAATATTATAATGTAAGATCATTTGATGTAAGCGTCTCTGTTAATCAATAAAATTATCTAATTCTTTTTTATAATAATATAGGATATTTAAGAGATAAAAAAATGTAATAAATGTTATTTGAGCAGATGGGTAAACGTCGAGCCTGTTCAGTCGGGAAATATCTCAGAAAGAACTATGATGGATTCCTTTCGAGGTTATACCTACCAGACGAGATTGTTATCCGCACTACGGATTATGATCGCACTAAAATGACAGCTTTAACTGCGATGGCCGGATTGTACCCACCAGAGCCGGAGCAACGATGGAACCCCACATTAAACTGGCAACCTGTCCCATATAACACTCCACCGCGCGATGAAGATGACGTAAGGACCTTCACATAAGTAACTAGTTTTTTACTAGTGGTAGGACCTCTTCTGAGTCCGCACGGGTAGGTACCACCACCCCGCCTATTTCTGCCGTGAAGCAGTAATGCGTTTCTGTTTGAAGGGTGGGGTAGCCGTTGTAATTACACTGAGACCTCTAGAACTTATATCTCAAGGTGGGTGGCGCATTAACGTTGTAGATATCTATGGGCTCCAGTAACCACTTAACACCAGATGGGCTGTGAGCTCGTCCACCCATCTAAGCAATAAATAAATAAAAAAGTTTATATAGCAAATCCCACTTACGCGAATTTAATTTAGCCATGAAATTAAATCAGTAGTACTCCGGCAATATTTGTGATGAGATAATTGAAAAACCTGTTCTACCACTTTTTTTACAATCAAGTTTTACAATCGTAAACTGATTAGTAGTATAACTTGTTGAATATAGGATAAAAAAATAAAAAAAATATCTTATAATATGTTAGCAAAAATATTATCTAATCATATCAGTTTTGTAACGATGAACTTTGACAGATCAAGTTGCGTAAAAGGTTTCTTTTTCGATTTTCAGTTATTATATTACTACAACTGCCCTCGTTATATTGCACTAAGAGATGAAACAGCTAGTTTGCCGGAAATCCAAGATTTATTGGCGCCGTACAAAGACCTCTTTCAATATTTAGAACAGCACACGAAAACTAATATTACTACATCGGAAGATGTTTTTTATTTAGACAATCTATTTCAAACACTGGTTAGTATTTTAATTTATTTATTGAAGATAAAAATAGTATTTTACTTCTAATGCACTATTCGATGTATTCCAGAGAAATGTCGGCGTAGAAACGCCAAAATGGGCACAGGAAGTGATGCCGCAAATAAAAGAAGTTACAAAAATCGAATATGCCATTCAGTATTATACTCCCGAATTGATAAGACTATCAGCTGGTGAGATATACCTATCTTAAGTATATCTTATAATACACGTGCAGCTGATTTCAGAATTTGTCATGTTTTTTTAAGTTAGCTTTAAGACTACGATCTATACTTGACATCTGTTCATAAACTCTTTAGCTATAAAAAGATAAGATCGTGTAAGACAAGCAACCCTGAATATTTTATTGATTCTGTGGTTTCGTATTCATGAATGAGGTGGCGGGTACAGTTGTGCTTATTTCTGCCACGAAGCAACCTTGTGTTCCTATTTCTACGCTAAAATAACTGTAATCTAAAAGGATGAGATTTCAATTTTATATCTCAAAGTAGTGTAGGCAGCGCTGTTCATGCAGAGATATACCTGGTATCCGATGATAGCTTAGGGCTAGATTAAACCCATATTTTGTGTTTTTAATTGTCTTATATATATTGTTGGTCGGAGCATAATTTTTATTGCTATTGTCGGCAGACGATAATACCGTCCACCTGATGGTAAGTAGTTGCTCTCACTTGCGGACATCAACAATGTATTACACAGTCTAGCTTCTGCCTACTGGCGAATTCACCTCAAGCAAGACTGCATTTAAACATTATGATGAACTGTTTGTGTCTAAACGTCAGAAACGTTTGTGCAAAAGGCCAGAGTGAAGTGCCAACATTGAAAATAAGCTTAACCTTATTTCAGGGGTTTTGCTAAACGAAATCTTAAATGCGACCGCTTCATATTTGTCCGGTGATACCGAGCAACATAAAGCACGTTTGTATTCGGCACACGAAAACAATGTAGCGGCAATAATGGCAGCCGCTAAAGTTTTCATACCTCATCAGCCTAATTACGGGTCTACGATAGCCATTGAATTCCGAAGGAATCGCACTTCCGGAAAATATGGTTTCGCGGTAAGTCTAGATTTCACGAAATTTACAATGTTTTTGCTTCTTTCTAAAAAAACTTAATATACATTTTAGGTAGGAAAAAATGTAAGCCACTACGAACACAATATACCTCTTACTACTCTTATAATATTTCTGTCTTTCGTTTTGATTATGTGTACATTAGAACAACGCCTTGTGAAATGGATATGAAAAATTCAGTGGTGATCTATTTAAATATTATTCACACACCTGTTTAATCCGGAATCTTTTCTGAATCAGATACTTCTATATTGTGAATAATACAAACGACTGTTCGATGACCTTCAATAAATGACAACCATGCAACTACTTAGTGAAGTAATTTAAATTGACCGTGAAATTAAAACCATTAATCTATTGGTTTAAATATTGACTTTCATGTAAACTTGAACTTTGTTTTATTTTGTTTTAAGTTTAATAAATTTAGGAAAACGTTTGTTCTTGTGAAACCTCTGTCACAAATACAAAATCACTTTCGTGACGAATTGTCGTGAATAGGATTTATTTTGTACAATGTTATTTTCAGTAAATATTATGACTGTGTCTTGTGTGTTTGTTAAAGCTTATTATTATTGTGTGTTCAGGCGGTGTATGCAGGCGATGCCGGCGGCCCGGGAAAGGTCCTCTCCGTAGACGGATGCGGCGGAGAAGCGTTTTGTGAATACGAAAAATTCGTCAATCTAGTCCAATCTTATAGAATTACATTAGAAGATTTTGAATACATCTGTCCTATATTAACTTAAGCTTGAATTGAATTTCAATTAATTTGTTTGTTAGTTTGTGTTTCATTGATGCGATTTAAAATTGTTGTTTAATAAAATGGCTGTGATTACGAAAGAAAGGTTTCTGGTGCGTTTTTATTTACCTGCTACATTTAGATATTCGTGTAAATGGCCGACATGTCGCACAGAATCTGCGTGTACGTGCATAGTATCAATTTGCAAAATAATTGTTGATTTCGATTCGGTCTTAGCTCTGTGACATGTCGTTCTTCAAATGAGGTCCTTAGTTATAGAAAACTGCTTGGCTGTGTCTATGGTAAAGTTGAAGTTCTTATAGTTGAAATCGACTTTTCATACATATCATAGTTTTACTTAGGATTTCGTCTTCGTAAGATGACAATAACAGTAAAAAGTAAAAAAAATAATGATAAAAAGCAATGCCAACGAATAATTGAATAAATTCGTACTATCTTACAAGAAAAACACATTTTATTAAAAAGAAAAAGTTTGTAATTAATTCAATAAATGGGTTTTAGGCATAAAAACAAAGATAATACTTTTGGCACGGCAAACTGTTGCGGACTAATTAAATAAATAAATTGGTTTAATAGTTAATTATACAAAATTTGACCGAAAATGCAAAAACCAACCGGTACAAATTAAAATAAGAACATTGTGAATATAGTTGAAGTCTATTAAATGTGTGTTACTAAGAATAACTCAAAAACTATTGGTCAGAACTTGATAAATTTTAAATGGTACTACACGAAAAGAAAGAAAAAAAGAAACGAGAAAGTTGTTAGAGGCCACGACCAGAAGCAACTGTGATATTAAACAGAAACATCGAAATCGGTACACTTAAAAAAAGTTCTGGAGTAACACATAAAAGATACAATTGTGGAATTGTGAACCTCCTTTTTTAATATGTTAAAAATAGTAATTCTACTCTTGGCATAAACTAGAACTACTCAGGACGAAGTAAAATAAATATCAAACGCAGAAACATAAAAAGACCCTCCAGATTGGACGTTGAATTTTATAGAGACCCAAGGAGGCATAATGTGAGATAAGGGGAAGAAGACTCTTGGTAAATTAAGGTACACGATTGGAGAATACAGGGACATTTCGTAACAAGGCCACGTTTCATTTTAGACCATTCACTCGGCAGATTACTTATTATAATCACGTATTTAATTCTTAATGCGTCGTATAGTAAACTAAGAGCAAATTTTAAAATTCTTATTTTTTCAGACTGTACTACAGACGTGGCAGTGACCTGCAATAACCATTCAATCCTAAAATCTTTTATTACTTATTGTAGCTTGCTTTGAATTAATAAAATAAAGTAAAGCTACCATGATAATGACAAGGTCGTTTTACGTTGTGAAAATAATGTGAAACATCTTGGTATTGTTGATGCAGTAATTACTGGTAGATTAGATATAATTAAACGATGATAGTAGCCTACTGTGTCTAGCACAACGTCTGTTTCCTTTGCAGTTTATTTTAAATGTATGTGGATATCAGACAACGTGTACCATTATTTTACTTCATGATTTTGTTTGTTTTTCCCCAGTGATACGTTTGAATTATGGTAACCTTAATAACCATTTGCACAAAGTAAGTAAATTCACTTTACTTTTAAAGTTTTAATTCGAATTCGATATTTTTTGTGATGCGAGATTGTATTTAGAAAACGTAAAGGCTAATTGTAATTCTAAAATGGTATTGTATTATTAATTCGCAAATTTAAATGAGGATGTGTGTGTGTGTGTGTGAGCAGGGCAGTCGGAAAACAGGTTTGGTTCAAACGGACTTGCGCGATTTATTAATTCACACTGTCAGACAAATCAAAACACCCTAGCGATCACCAATGATACAATGTATTTCAGTACTATTTATAGCTAATATTTACAATTGCTATACAGATTATTATTTCTATATAATATACGAAATTTTCAATGATTATTAAACAAATTTGAAATCAAAATTTAAAAAAATTCTAAGGCTGCTGTGGTATCCATACAAATAACATGTTCGGATGTCATGTGTAGATAAGTACTGTGGTATAATCGATTGGGCAAAGTCAATCATCATAGGTCGCAGCGACCGTGAATCTCCCGTGCGTTATTCAGTGGGACCCCGCCTCCCGAGCAGTGCGCTTCCCATCTGTCCACACGCAATATTACCATACATACGAACAAATTTGTATCGAGTGCATCTTCTCTACAAGTGTTCAATGATAGAATTTTGACAATATCAAAATATGAACCACATTAATTATTAAGAAGAAGACACAATTGGAATACAATGTAGAGGTGCCGACTCGGCGTAGAAAAATGTGAGTGACAAATAGGACGACATGTGATCGAAGAAAATTTAAGTCGCGGATTGGTAATTTGTTCCGGAATTCTCTACAGTAACACTATTTATTTACATCACTATGACTGAAACATTAGTCGAAGCTATAATAAAAAGTAGTATTTCTTTGGAAAGTTATTAGGATATAAGTAGTGCAATGTATTTATGGAGGAGGTTATTCGCTTAGTAAGGTCAAGGTGCGTAATTTTAGTAAGTGCGTTTGTGCAGGAAAGAGGGCGGTCGCGAGGAGGAGCCGACCAACGCGCCGGAAGCTACACCGGCACCGGGTATGCGCACCGAACACACTTGCTGTTGCCTCGGCGTGTTGGTGGGCATCTCGCTCATAGCCGGTACACACGATTTATTGTTTATATATGTACATTTTTTTTTTTATCGCTTATATGGGTGGAAGAGCTCACGGCCCACCTAGCGTTAATTGGTTACCGGAGCCCATAGACATTACAACGTAAATGCTTGATATAAGAGTTCTAAGATCTCTGTATAGTTACAACGGCTGCCCTATCCTTCAAACCGAAACGCATTACTGCTTCACGGCAGAAATAGGTAGGATGGTGGTAACTACCCGTGCGGACTCACAAGAGGTCCTACCACCAGTAAATTGATATTAAGATAAAGTGCGGACTCACAAGAGGTCCTACCACCAGTAAATTGATATTAAGATAAAGTGAAGATTATATTATGATGATTCTTTTTCCGTATTCCATTAGAAAAATTGGTACCCGCCTGCGGCATTCGAACACCGTTGCATCGCTCGAAACGAATGCATTGGGCGTCTTATCCTTTAGACCACGACGACTTTCAAATAGAAACTGCTACGTTTCGTAGCTATTTTAGAAAATAAAAAAACTAAACCTTTTTTTAAATATTTTTTCAATTTGGATACAACATAAGTTGCTTTAAGACTGCAGTGAGTTGAAATAATAAATTAAAAAATGCCTCATTTTTTTTGAGTTTATTTGTATTTCTCTTATAGCCCTCGTAGCAGTAATACTGATGAAGGATACTACGGTAGAAGTCACAATACTTCGACAGGTACATGTGGTATGTATACTTGTATGGATTAACGACCATTCTATGGGTAACAACAGAATGTTAGATGCTCTCTCAGTGATATAATATTATAATTTGATTTTTAATCAGAATATATTATAGCATACTGGTGACCCGCCCTCGCTTCGCTTCGGAAACTGTAATTTATTGTTGATTTCTCCACTATTTAATGAATGTTATTATACATATAAACCTTCCTCTTCAATCACTCTATCTATTTAAAAAAAACCGCATCAAAATCCGTTGCGTATTTTTAAAGATTTAAGCATACATAGGGATATAGGGACAGAGAAAGCGACTTTGTTTTATACTATGCAGTGATGATTAACTAGCGTCACGTATCCCGAATTCCTGTCATTAGCACGGGGTGTTGTAGGCTTTTTTTTTGTAATTGCATGGATTTCAGGTTTGATAAGAAGAATAAATTACCAATACAAGGATTAGGAGCTCGGATTTTATGGTGGGCGATTGCATTAACTTCATCGACAATGTCTATGTGGCTCCCAAGCCGGTTATCGGAAGGTTGAAGGACAATGGACGATGATATGGTCTGACCACCTAATATTATAAAACTTACAATTGTTTATTTATTTAACTTAATGCACAGAAGTACAATGGCGGACTTAATGCCTGAGGCATTCTCTACCAGTCAACCAAGGGTAGTGTAGAGAATCCTGTGGTAGGTGCATAACTTAATGTTTTTTTTTTATTGCTTAGTTGGTTGGACGAGCTCACAGCCCACCTGGTGTTAAGTGGTTACTGGAGCCCAGAGACATCTACGACGTAAATGCGCCACCCACCATGAGATATAAGTTCTAAGGTATCAGTGTAATTACAACGGCTGCCCCACCCTTCAAACAGAAACGCATTACTGCTTCGCGGCAGAAATAGGCAGGGTGATGGTACCCACCCGCGCGGACTCACAAGTGGTCCTACCACCAGTAATTACGCAAATTATAATTTTGGGTGTTCATTTTTATTACACGATGTTTTTCCTTCACCGTGGAAGTCAATCGTGAACATTTGTTGAGTGCGTATTTCATTAGAAAAATTGGTACCCGCCTGCGGGATTCGAACACCGATGCATCGCTCGACACGAATGCACCGGACGTCTTATCCTTTTAGGCCACGACGACTTCAAAATAACGTAATTAACGTTAATGTGAAACAACCAACCTACATTATACAATATACAAACACATACACGGTATATATATATATATATAATCACATAAACAACGTACACAATTTCCTATCATTATAATAATATAAAATTTACACATATATCTATATATAATCTCTATCAGTTCCAGTTAATGGGAATTTAATAATATGTTTACCTTAAGATTTTTTAATACCTTTTTTATATCGGATTCATGAAGCAAGTTATATTTACGTAAAACTTACAAAGATGGTAATTTTTTACTTTTGCGATAAAAATCATCAACATATTTGGTTTTTTTTTCAGTTGATGTCTCATGGCGAGAGGACTCCAAGTGAACGCGAACTTGAAATGTTAGGAACAAGTCCCCCAGAGCATGTTTTTTCACCTTACGGCGCTGGTGCTATGACAAATGTGAGTTATATTTTTAAATATACATATTTTTCAAATGTTACTTTATTTAACCATAATGTTGATCTCCTGGCAATAGTCACTTAACGGTATTGTACAAAACAATGGCCTTTTTTAAAATAAATTAAAACTCATTGGTAATTATTTATTTATGTAGATAGGATAGTTTCGCTAGCGACAAGTATTATTATCTGTTCGCTCTCTATAGCGAAACTGATCAAAGAAGCTATTGATATTTTAGAATCTTTAAACTTCAACTTTGGTTATGTCTTCAGATTATCTGCGATTGAAAACATATTAGGTTCAGTCCAAAAAATTACAATAAATTCTCAATCTTTTGGATATCTATGTGCACAACCTTTTTTCAAAATACATGCAATAAAACTATTCAGCCGAAATTCAATGAACAATTGTAATTTTAAAATGACATGATAGTATGTATTAAATTTTCGACAAATGTGTGCGCATAAATTTCGTGGGAACCGCGGAATACCTAATTTATCACAAAGGCGTGTTTTGTCGTAGTTCCTCCATTCATTAAATTATGCGACCGTGGGTCGTAACGAATGGATTACCTCGATACGGGCCGCGCAGACGTCATGACGTTACTCTCTCGGCGATACAAAATTTTGCATATAGAGATTACTTTACATGCGCCGGCGCTCCTCTCCGTCCACTAACAATACAATACTATTGAAAGTAATAATAGAGTGATTGTTGTGTCGGCCTAGAGAAAAACGGTCGTATTAAATATATGTATATTATTATCACATTTTGTTTCGCTACATTTGGACGTAAATTTATTTAGATGAATTAACAAAAAAATTTCAATTAAATGAACAACAGAGAAACAAAGAAACTTGTCTTGATTCGATTACGTTAATTAAATTAAAAGTTAACAAACATCTTAACACGTTTTATGATACAAGATTTTTTTTGCGTCATTTTGCAACATCGAATTTGCGGAACTAGCGCCAAGGGTTCTGCTAATTTGGAAGGAAGGCACAAGATAAATGACTTTATAACGAAGAGCTCACTTCCCGGTACGCGGGAGGGAGTCTCTATTCCCGAAGGTCGCGGGCGGGAACGATGTGTTCCTCAAGAAGCGTAGATTGCCGCTCGCTCGCTAATAATGATTTATTACTTGACACATGTCACCGAGGATTAACAGTAACGCATTCAGATGATGAAAATAATTTAATTTAACTCTATAAATTGATGGTTTGCTTTATTTTCAAACGAAACAAAGATATATACGATGTAAAGATTCATTTTATGTAATAATTTTATTTTCGTGGACAGGAAGGAAAAATGTTGACTTTCGAAATGGGCGCATTACTTAGAAAGAGATATAACGATTTCTTAGGACCACTTTACGACGCAGGTATTGTTTTTCTCAATTAACTTGCACTAGATATTGATAGTTTAAACTTATTAGATTTGTTTTGTATTGTTTTTTTTTTTGTATGCTTCAGAAAGCAGTATCGTTATAGCTTCAGATACAAATTTAAGTAAGATGACAGCTCTGCTGATATCGGCTGGATTGTGGCCGCCGCCGGAAGAGCAGCTCTGGAATGACACAATCGTGTGGCAGCCGGTACCTTACAAATATCCTCCACAAAGCAATGATTTTGTGAGTCTATACTATAATAATATATAAATCTACAGTGGATTTTACGGATGTTCCGTTATAACTACTGAACCATGCATCCGATTGACTTGAAACTTGGTATCCATGTAGTAAATACACTTGTACTTCATGGATAGGCTAATATTTATATGCGTGTTGGACTCCCTACACCAGTTGCGGGGGCGTTAATGATGAGAATCTTTGTGGGGGTGAGAAATAATAATGTTAATTTTAAATGCCTAGCGAAGCGGACGGGTACAGCTAGTCTCTTATACTTCGATAACGAGATTAGGCATAAAATATATATTTTTAATCAAGGTTTCGTTTCACAGCTTCTGTACGAAAAAAATTGTCCACGTTATAAACAAGAAAAAGGAAGAATATTGAATGCGTTCGTCGATGAAGGCGTGCTGGTGCCTTATCGGGATCTGTTTCATAAAATTGCGCAAATGACGAACACGAATTTTAGTACACCACAAGAGGCTTATTTTTTAAACAACTTATTTCTTATACAGGTCGGTAAGCGAATTAGTTGCAACGAATGTTTTGGTTTATTTTAAAACGAAAGTTGTTTTCTTGAACATGAATTTTGAAATTAATTTCTTTACTTTAGGACGATATCAAAGTGGCAAATCCGAAATGGGCAAAACACGTTAAAAGGAAATTGATGGACATCGCCCGTCTTGAATACTCAATGATGTTTCACAACAATCTTTTAAGGAAATTGAGTGGCGGTATGTTTTTTTTAATTTTTTTTATTTCGTTTTTTACATATTTTTGTTCAATGGAAAATATGGTGTTTAGTTAAAAACGATGGATTGCAACGTGGTTTTAGAATATTAACGTAAAAATACACGATAAACTTTTTACCGAGCACAGAAACCATTTATATAAAAATGTTTGTTTAACTTGATATTTAAAAGGCGAATAATAAAAATAAGGATATTCATTTCATTGCATAATTATTATCATTAAAATGTCACGCTTATACGTAATTGGTGTTTCGTGAAACCGGCATGAAACGTAAACGTAATTAGTTAATTACCATACATCTATTATTTATCATGAATCTACATTTTTATTATAAATCTTAGGGGCTTTATTACATCAAATAATAAAGGAAGCCGTTTCGAACGCATTGGGAGCATCGCGGTTACGCATGATCGTACGCACGGGCACGCCCGTATCCGTGGCGGCCGTGCTGGCGGCGTGCGTGGCGCCGCCGCCGCGTCTCCCCGACCCCGGGGCCGCGTTACTATTCGAACTACACGAACGACAACCGAATAAAGGAAAAAACGAACCATCACTCAACGACGAGCAACGTTTCGGATTTAAGGTATGAGGTACCTACCTACTTCGTCTGGCCATAAATACTGTTACAATTAAAAATAAACAAAATATTACATTTGAATTTGGAATCTGTCATTTTTATATGATTGCTCATTGAGTTTTCTCATTTTGGCGCCAATACATTGTACAATATTTTGTGATCCAAAAGATCTGGCCGTCCACGTAGTGTTCGTACGAAAAAGATGGTCAAAGCAGTAAGGGAAACAATCCGTACGATTGGCAGTGAAAATTTTTCCCATGGAAAGAGTGCGTGCTTCTATTGATAACTGGCCTCAACGTTTAACGGCCTGGCCACGGGGATCGGCGGTGCGAACAGCGAAGCGGTGGGCGAGGCGACCATTCGCGCAGCACCGTTTGCAGGCCACGGGTACTCACGTTCGCCGCCGCGACTAGTAAGGAAGTCCGACAGCGAAATGTCTATATCGAAATTATCTCGATATTGCTTACAAATTAATAGTTTTTTGGTTCAGGACCTATTATTTGGAAAAGATTGTGAAGTACATGATTTGAATAAGAATCGGAGTATACCTATAGATGGAGAATTCCACAAGAAGTACGAGAAATACTTTGGGTGGCTAGACTTCCAAATAGCTGGTCTAGCTAGTATTTCAGCTATTTTATTTTTTTATTGCTTAGATGGGTGGACGAGCTCACAGCCCACCTTGTGTTAAGTGGTTACTGGAGCCCATAGACATCCACAACGTAAATGCGCCACCCACCTTGAGATATAAGTTCTAAGGTCTCAAGTATAGTTATAATGGCTGCCTCACCCTTCAAACCGAAACGCATTACTACTTCACGGCAGAAATAGGCAGGGTGGTAGTACCCACCCGTGTAGACTCACAAGAGGTCCTACCACCAGTAATTACGCAAATTATTATTTTGAAGATTTCATTTTTATCACACGATGTTATTCCTTCACCGTGGAAATCAATCGTGAACGTTGAGTGTTGTTGAGTACGTATTTCATTACAAAAATTGGTACCCGCCTGATATTCGAACACCGGTGCATCGCTCAACACGATTGCACCGGACGTCCGTTAGGCCACGACGACTTTAAAAATATAAAATAAAAAATAAATAAAAAATATAAAAATTTCGGCGTTAATTTTTCGCGGCGAAAACAACTAAACTCATTTAATCACTGCACTATTCGCCGCGACTACCGCTCGACTCCGTGGCTCGCGCCGTCCGTATTCATGCATTTGTTTTGCTCGCCCGCCGCATCGCGCGATTCGCTCGGTACATTTCGCCGGTCGCTTCGCCGGTCGCCGGTGCGCGTGGCTTGTTAGGTACATTTCTATGCGCTTGTTTTAGTCGCTAGACGCTTCGCCGTTCGCACCGCGCGAATATTCGCATCGGCGAATGTCCCGTGGCCAGGCTGTTAAGGACTGTATTGCAGCCAATGGAAACCGCTTCGAATAAGCTTTTTATACTTTAAATTGTTTTATATTTATGTATTAAACTAATACACTGTAAAAGTAATACATGTTATTTGCAATAGATTTTTTTTTTTTCCTTTGTCTCAGTATTTATGGCAAGACTAGGTATACTCTATATTTATTGTCAAACTTTTGTTATTGCTTAAAGTTTGTGGTCAAATTGAGAATACGTTAATATCGTTTATATTTAATATTATTTATCCACAGTGTAGTCTTGGCGAAATTTTTTAATAAAGAAGTAGAATGGTCTTTGACAATAAAATCTTAATAATATTCAAACTTATAATTTCAATTAATTAGAGTCGAATTTCAGCTACTAGGGGCCCCAAGTTTGTTTTAAAAACAAATAAGAACTTCTAATCGGTCAAGTGTTTCGCTAATTTGAATTGATGTAACATTACAATTCAGTGAATAGGATTTATTGCCGGCTATACGAGTCCTTAAGTGCATTTACTAAGCTGTGATGTAGGTATGAAAGAAAGCGCTATAGAAGTAATTCTAAAACGCTCTTATAAGCTTAATCTGTACCTCTCAATCTACAACTTCAATTTGCACATCTACCCAATGTTCAAAAACAATGTCACTATTTTATTATTTTTGTGTAATATTCTGAACTGAAAAAGATAAAAAAAGACATTATTCGAATTTTATTTTATTTGCTCTCTATTATATAAAATCGTGATTTTTTAGTTTGTAAACTTATATTTATTATTAAGCTTTATTGCCGTATTTTATTTTTAACATTAAATTTTAATAGTTTACAACGATATCGTGAGCATTCGAGCAATAATGAACAATTTGTAAGTCAAATAACTTATTTTTCAAAAAAATAAAAATATAAACTGCTTTGGAATCGAATCTCATTACGATAACGAAGTATGCGCGGTGTGTAATCTCATAAGACACGCACCTTTCAAAACGGGTTTTGGAGTCTTTGGCGTCATTACATAATTATCTGTTTTATACAAATTAAATAGTACTTTTATGTATGAATAAAGTAGTTATGCTTTAGGGAAACCCTTTTTTGTCTATACTAGGAGTAATTTCCAAAGCCGCTACGAGAATAACCTACTAGTCCAAAATAGGCGGACACCAAAAATTATTTTTGCTAATCTAACCATTCGTAACGCCCGTCTTAATTTCCGTGAACTAGATAGTAATAGAATTTATGCTAAAAATCGTTTTCCAAAAATTTCTAATGTATAAGTTCTCTTTCCTTTTCATTATTAGATATATTTTGTTTGTTAAGCGCTTACGTTATGATGTACGAGGATAACGCGATCACTATTTCATTCTTAAATTACACTATTTCCTTGAACATACTTGTTTTAGAAAAAAAACCTAGATCTAATTTTACGATTCCAGGAAAATCCGCAAGCCGCTAAAAATTGATTACAATTTTTTTAATTAGTTGAACACCATCATTTGTTGAATAAAAACTAGTCGAATACGAATTTTACGTAATTACATGATTACGCGCTCGACTTAACCATCTAATTATTGAGATGACTGGAATTATTTTGTGATAATATATTTTTTGCAGATCTATTACTGGGACGATGATTCAGCTGAACCTCGTCTCATGGAAGTGCCCAATTGCAATTCCTTCTGCACGATTGAACAATTCAAAGAGTTAACGAAATACATAATTGCCCATAATTATGAAGAAGACTGTAAACTTGTTGCGGAACAAACCAATTGAATTACGTTGTAAAGCATTCGATTTAGTGACACCTTAGAGACATTCTCACAACACGTATCCATTAAAATCAACGTGAAACTTTAAATTTATCTTTATTAGCGCTAAATATTAATGTGTGTTAAAATTTAATGTGTGTAGATACGTAAGTAATCAAATTATTTATGTACAGTTTGTCATTGGTGTTAGTAATGTTTGATAAATATGGCTTTACGAAAATGCTTGCTTACCTTAGATTTCCTATTTTGAATTATTTAGCTAAATTATAGTTTATTCCAATTTTATTATCGGTTGTTAGCTTTATTTTTTTAACTACCTTAGTTCGAACAACACTGTAACTATTCTAAATTAGACTGGCCGTGGACGTTATTATAAACCTTATTTTAACACAATTAAAATTAGTATTCGTGTACAAATGTTTTATTTACCTTCGTCTATCTTGAGGCCGGTCTCTTCGCGTGGAATGTTCTTGGAAATGTCTTCGAAGACATCGGCCCCCCACTGTATGGCGCCGCGCAGCTTCAAGTACTCGGCGATGAGGGCCGCTATGTGCAATTGACAGCACATGGCCTGAAAACAATAACATGTTCAATATTTTGTTTGCGAATTGTTTAAATATAAATTTTGTAATCACTACACAGTATAAAACAAAGTCGCTTTCGCTGTCCCTATATCTGTCTGTCCCTATGTATGCTTAAATCTTTAAAACAACACAACGGATTTTGCTGCGGTTTTTTTAATAGATAGAGTGATTGAAGAGGAAGGTTTATATGTATAATAAAATCCATTAAATAGTGGAGAAATCAATAATAAATTACAGTTTCCGAAGCGAAGCGAGGGCGGGTCGCTAGTTTAATATAAATTTCATTGCACCTACCACTATTTACTCTGCACTACCTTTGGTTGACTGGTAGAGACTGCCTTAGGCATTAAATCCGCAAATGTAAATTTAACATGAAGTGTAATAAATAAATAAATAAATCACTTGAAATTGTTATAAATTTTTTTAGAATAGTATCAAATGTATCGGTTGAAAATGCATACATTATTCTTAGATTCATACTATAGATTAGAATGTTTTAATTAATTTTCAAGGTGATTTAAGGATTATTTATGTCGAAAATAATAATGTTTAAAAAAAACACTATTCTAGTCTTTTTTTAGTAGTAATCTAATAGAAACTTGTAAAGTTTTTTTGGACGGGCAAACGAGCTCACGCAAATGCTGCTGTTTTGAGACATGAGGTCTAAGTCTCAATCATATATTATAGCGGATGTCCCTGCCTTCAAACCGATAAGCAATAGTGTTTCGCGGCAAAACTAAGCAGGGTGATGGCACCTACCCGTGTAAGTGTAGTCATCGTGGCCTAAAGGATAAGATGTCCGGTGCATTCGTGTTGAGTGATGCACCAGTGTTCGAATCTCAGGCGGCTACCAACTTTTATAATGAAATACGTTCATTCTTAAAAATGTTCACGATTGACTTCCACGGTGAAGGAATAATATATTGTAATAAAAATCAAACCCGCAAAATTATTATAAAATTTACGTAATTACTGGTGGTAGGACCTTTTGTGAGTCCGCGCGGGTAGGCACCACCACGCTGCCTATTTCTGCCGTGAAGCAGTGATGCGTTTCGGTTTGAAGGGTGGGGCAGCCGTTGTAACTATACTTGAGACCTTAGAACTTATATCTCAAGGTTGGTGGCGCATCTACGTTATACATGTCTATGGGCTCCAGTAACCACTTAACACCAGGTGGGCTGTGAGCTAGTCCACCCATCTAAGCAATAAAAAAATAAAAAGCATTAGTATATGGGTGATTATACAAAAGTTGGGTAACTATTGAGGATATTTTGTTTACTATAGTTATTAAATCAAATTGTTACAAATTTGGGTGTATATGATGGCTAATCTAATGATTATCTTCTTCCAAATCGGGCCAGTCACTTTTTTAAATAGATTGTGAGATATTTAAAATTTTCTGAATTTGACTGCCAGGGGACTGACGAGGCTAACATAGTACTGATAAAATACACAATTTTGTAAGAATTATAATGAAATTTAATAAAAAATAGTACAAATCTCTTATTTTTAATAATAATGGNTAATTGGAGGTTATAATCAGAACTAATGTTTTTTTTGGTAATTTCGTATATCAACAAACTACATTTTAACAAATCATAGTTAACTATGTATAAATGAAAATAAACCTCACATTAACAAGAAAATAACGACTCACCACAGGACTGAAATTTTGACTGGCTTCGCACGTGTGTAGACGACAAACACAACCCAAGCAGTGATATAGTTATGGCGACCGTCAAATTGTGCGGTCCGACACTAACTTCATTATCAACATTAAAGCTTAAACAGGGATTTGACCTTGACTCGATGATATTTGGCGAGATTTTCAAATTTTAAAGAACACACAACGGACTGACCAATGAAACGAACACAAAGTTTCTTATTTTTTTTTAAATAAAATGGAGAACATTGCATTATGAAAGTTGTAGTATATAATACTATATACATCACAGATTGTAGTAAATTAGTAAGTTTTCTTAAATCAATGATAATGTTTAATGGATAGTCACTTGATTGTTAGTTTTCGGGATTGTGACATGCCAAAGGACTGACGTTTTAAGTATTAATTTGGTTTTTTTACTAACTTGTATTTAAAATAAAGAAGTGAAATTGGGTGACCAAATAAAGGACGTTTCGTTGTTTTAAAATAAATTGGTATTTCAATAAAATATAATAAGACTTTGTATATATTGGCTGATGACATAGAGTTACCCAATTTTTGTATAATCACCCATATATAAAATAAATTATGTAAATTCGAAACACTATGACAATAAATCTAGTTTTATATTTGTTACAAAATCATGTATTTAGGACGTAATTGTGCAAAATTCGACATATACTGTGAAACAGACTTGATTTCACAGTGTTCGCATATTCGTTTATTTATATAATATTATCGTTACCTCATCGTGGTCTCCTTGTCGCGCGTTGTGCTCCGCGAGCGTCGCGAGCCAGGCGTGGCGCAGGCGCGGCGTGGCGCGGCACGACGCCGCCAGAGCGTGCTGTAGCTCCGCGAGGTGGACGCTACCAGCACCTAAGTCCGAAATGTATTTTTAAAATCAGCCAATCATGTAATCAATTCAATTCAATTTGTTATTTAATAATAATAATAATAAAATAATTTATTGCCTTTCACACAGATCCAGATTAATACATTTATATAACAAAAAAAATTAAAAGGACTTTAGGACCTGGTAACTGAGACCTTTAGGTCAAGTCTTATTTTAAATTTAATGAAAACTTTAATAAATGAAAAATGATACTATGAAATAAAATGAAGTTAATTAATATGAAAAATGGCATGAAATGTAATAAAAATGAAATGTAATGAGATGAGATGATATGGGATATAATATAAAAATCTGAAAAAATCTCATAAACGACCACCATTTTACTGAGATTTTTTCAGTGGACTTTTTGGAGGATCCCGAGAAGTTACGTCCAGCGGCTTTGTTTTATTTTTCCACATTTGTGCACTTTCACAGATATTGAGCAGTTAATAAACCACCGTTATTACACATTTAAGCCTGAAGAAACACTAAATAGACAAAATAAATCACACAACTTCACTACTCGCGTTCCCGCCAAAGAGTCCTCATTTAGATAATAAAAGAAAAGAAAAGTAAAAAGGCAAAAGGAGGTGGCTCAGCTAATGCTGTTCAAAGTAGATGAAGTGAACAGCGCTGATTTTCAGTCGCCCCCTTTTCCCTTTGGTTTATTGCGGGATTCAATGCTAGGTACGTGTACCTGTGTACAGACTTAAAAAGTGACATAAACTATAATACAATAAAAATAAGAAAAACAAATCTATTTAATTATAATATGTTTTCTGAGAAATACATGCGTATGAGAGACTCACCTGAGAGTCCCGAGAGACCGGAGCCCCCCACTCCGGCGAGGCGAGCCCGCGCGCCCACTACTGTACGGACGCGCCGCATCAGCTCCGCCACTTCGCTCGACAATCCTGTTACAAAAGCAAATAACATCATATTTAGTACTTTCTAAGTAATGCGCGACGAGTCATTAATCCTTAATATATCTATATCTATACTAATATATAAATCTACAGTGGTTTTTACGGATGTTCCGTTATAACTACTGAACCATGCATCCGTTTGACTTGAAACTTGGTATCCATGTAGAAAATACATGTACTTAATGGATAGGCTAATATTTATATGAGTGTTGGACTTCTTACACCAGTTGCGGGGGCGTTAATGATGAAAATCCTTGTGGAGGTGAGAAATAATAATGTTAATTTTAAATGCCCAGCGAAGCGGACGGGTACAGCTAGTAAATAATATAATTATATAAGTAAACAACCTAACAACCTAATATAAGTAAACATTTGTAGTTATTAATTTTAGTAAGTACTGTGTTAGAGATGTGCACCGAAACAGAATGTTGCCTGTCGCGACAGAAGAAATATTGTAAATGCACACCTGAATATTCTGCACAATTTCCTTTCAAATTAAATTTCAATTCATAATTTTCTGTGATGATTCTTTTTAATACTGATTAACGCAATTACAAATCCTTACCCGTTCCTTTCATTGCCTTGTCACCTGTGGCGAAGCAGTTTATAACGGACAAACTCTCTTGGAAACGTTTGCAGTTTAGTGCGTTTGAACTGTCTAGCAGTTTTGAGACCGCCATTATGACCTGAACAAATCGAAAATTTAAGTTTATACATATATATTGCATAATAATATTATTAAATATAATACGTTATATATGTATACAAGTATGGAGAATTGTTCGTATTTTTTTTTTAATGATCCATCAGTGTGTCAAGATGGAATCAGTGCTCCAAAATACATCAAAAAAAGTATTGCGATTGCTGGTGGTAGATTGTGAGCCCGCATAGAATACCACCATTGTCTATTTCGGTCGCGAAGCAGTTGTACGTTCCAGTTTGAAGGGTTGCAGATCCGTTATACAATACTACTGAAAGTTCAACCTTATGACTCAATGAAGACGGCAGTATGCCATATAATAAGTATTCAGTTCTGGGATATAATTATGAAGAACACTTTCTTGAGATAGCTGCAGAGTTTCGAAGCTTTTTATTTATTTATTTATTTATTTATTTAGACACACCAACAGCAATATATTAAAATTAACATGTATAAAATTAAGTACTGGTATGTAAGCCAGTTACAGGCATGGATAGCAATCTCTTATAACACACTATGACATGTTACAGCAATTTTACAAACAGCGGAAAAATAGGTTAAATTTAAATGTTAACAGTATGACATAAAAAAAATATTGAAAAGAACATGAAAACAAGAGTTAACTACTTAGCATTCTCTCATCGATTATAAACAAAGGAACTTGGATACTATAATAGTTTGTTTTTGAGACCAGGACACGTATCGTTAAAAATGTCGATGCCGTCAATTAATGCATATATTTGGTTAGTTTATTAGTTTATTATTTATTGGTTGGTTATTTTACTTTGAAATTAACATCCAAACTAGATGCGAAACGATTTTGTTACCTATTACGATTCTTACTTGCAAATGAACTCTGGTGAGATCCCCACCGGCTCCGTGTTGGAAGTTAGCCCGCATCAGCAGATAGAGGGCGGCCGCTGCCTCCCGCCGCAGCCACGCCGCGCGCGCCTCGCACAGCCGCACCACGCCCGACACCACGCCGGCGCACAACGTGCTGCCCCCTTTAGTCATATTTTGTAACTTGTATAATTACTATATACTACTACTAGCGACCCGCCCTCGCTTCGTTTCGGAAACTGTAATTTATTATTGATTTCTCCACTATTTAATGGATGTTATTATACACATTATAAATCTTCCTCTTCAATCACTCTATCTATTAAAAAAAACCGCATCAAAATCCGTTGCGTAGTTTTAAAGATTTAAGCATACATAGGGACAGACAGATATAGGGACAGAGAAAGCGACTTTGTTTTATACTATGTAGTGATATACTATAATTAATAATTTACTGGTGGTAGGACCTCTTGTGAGTCCGCGCGGGTAGGTACCACAGCCTTGCCTATTTCTGCCGTGCAATAATGCGTTTAGGTTTGAAGGGCGGGACAGCCGTTGTGATTATGACATTAGATGTCTATGGGCTCCAGTAACTACTTAACACCAGTGGGCCGTGAGCTCGTCCACCTATCTAAGCAATAAATAAAAAAAAAACAAAAAAAGTTTTTTTTTCGGAATTTCATTTGGTGACGACTATACAAATAATCTATTAAGAAATGAATTAATCGAACATACCTTCGAATAGTGTTTCAGAGAACTGGTTGATGTAGGCTCGCAAGGCTGCGAACAAGTGTTTGTACAGAGTTTCGCTTTGTGGACACTGTAGTAGTTTTAGATACGGTTTGGCGCTAACTCCATTAGCCGCTCCGAGATTCTTCATGAATAAGCACGATCTATCTATTATAATGAGGCCCACTTCTGTGGACAAGCATCCTGCTGCTAACACCGTGTGTTCCGCCATCGCTTCTAATTCTGTAAGAAACATAATTAGACATTTCTAATTTATTCACCTACAAAATCCAGTTTTTTTTCTAGTGCACAGAGGGGATGCGATTTAATATCAAAAGGCCGGTTTTCATGCTCGCACGTAATATCTGTGGACTACAGTGTCAGATATAGCTTATGAGATTTTTCGTATATCTAAACCAACAAAATATAAAATAGCCTATTCATGCATTACAGTATTTATCACTAAACTAGCGACCCGCCCTCGCTTCGCTTCGGAAACATTAAAACACATATGAAACAAAAAAAAAATAATTAAAAAAGTAGCCTATGTTCATCAGGGAAAATGTCGGCTTCTAATGGAAAAAGAATTATTCAAATCGGTCCAGTAGTTTGGGAGCCTATTCGAAACAAACAAACAAACAAATCTTTCCTCTTTATAATATCAGTATAGATAAATCTACTGCTCGTAGGACGTGTTGTGAGCGTGTAAGTGTGAGGTTACTCCAGCTTGAAAGATGGACAGGCCATTATACAATACGATTTAGACAGCTACGTTCACCATCGATATTCTAGGGGTCCGGTAAGTACTTTTAAACTAGGTGGGCCGAAAGCTCGTACAGCCATAATTATACCTAGTCAGGTCATAAATTCTGTCACATGTTTAATGTAAAATAATTGAAACAAGTTTATTCATTATGTAACCATTCATATACCAAAATGAACTTAAGAAAACATAGATTCTTATGACACTAAAGTTTATTCAAAATGACCTCCGTGATTTTGAATACAGGCCTTCAATCTGCGCGGCCAGTCGTCTATCGCAGCACGAACGAGGTCCATGTCAATATCGGCGGCTGCCTTAATCAAGGATGTCTTGAGTGACTCCAAATTGGGATGAGGCTTTGAGCACGCCTTTTCCTCCAAGTGTTGCCATATCTTGTAATCTAACGGATTCAAATCTGGACTGGAGGAGGGCCAGTCTTCGTGCCGGATGAAGTCGATTTCACGCGCCGCCAGCCAGTCTTGTGTGCTCTTCGCTCTATGAGCTGGCGCCGAATCTTGTTGGAATACCCAGTGCCTGTTATTGAACATGGTATGAGAAACAGGTTCCACAAGGTTCGTCAGGACTGTATTTTGATACACAATTGCATTCGTTTTTACACCTTTCTCACAAAAATGTACCTCTGTTAAGCCCCAATAAGAAACTCTCAACCATACCATGAGCGAGGATGGAAAATGACCTCGTTGGACACGCGGAATACGGTTGCTCGCTTCTTCACTACTGTGTGCGTACACCTTAGCATTTTGTTTGTTGTAGCTCTCTTCTACGGTAAAAATTTTTTCATCCGAAAAAAGAATTTCCTGATATTTTTTTCCCGCGTACCGCTTCAACAAAGCGCGGCATCTCTTCAGTCTCAGGTCCATTAGACGAGCATTCAAACGATGTCCTGTTTTTCTTCGATATGCCCGAAGCCCTAAGTCTTCATTTAACACCCTTTTTACCGTGGTTCTGCTTAACCCCATCTGAATGGCCAACAGTTTCTGCTTACGTTTGGGATTTCTTTGAATTCGCGCCTTCACAGCTTTTATCACTGCTGGAGTCCTAACAGACCGAGGGCGACCACTTTTTGACCCGTCATCTACACTAGAGTCTTCATTGTATCGTTTGATGGTACGATAAACGAATCTTTTGGTTATATTAAAATTTTTCAGTATGTTAAAAATTTGAATTGGCGCGTAACCGCAACGATGCAACGCAATAACTGCAACACGGTCTTCTTTAAGCGTCCACTCCATATTTAAAAACGGAGTAAAATTCTAAAAGTATACATTTTTATTTTCATGAACAATTCGAAATTCGAATTCAATAAACTTTTTTGTGGCCAGCATTCTAAAAGAAAAGTTTTTACTGTGTGACAATACTTATGACCTGACTAGGTATATACACATATAAAAAAATTTTTTTAAACAATTCCGTTTGCAATAGTAAATGATCTCACACCGCATATGCACATTCTAAACTTGACTCGCCTGTTGTAATCGTGGCAGTATTAGCCAGATTTTCTCTGTTAACTGTATTGTTCTTCTCGACAATTATGGGAGGTTCCTTAGAAAAATCCGGTGGGCTCATCCGGGCGGGCAGCGTCCTGGCCTTCACCGGCTTCGGCTTGCCGTTGCAGTCCGGCGTCGTCGCCTTCAGTTCACTCAGAATCTTCTTTCTTCCAACATACTGGAACTGTTCTGCGCAGATCCTATTAAAAGAAAGGTTTGTTTCATTAAAATTTACTAACACTAACACAACGATAAAATCATGCTAAATTAATTATTTCGTTAAGAAAACTTACTCTAAAACGTTAAAGAATGACTGTATGTAGGCCTCAGATAGCGTCTTCCACCAATCAACGAGTCTCTCTTCATCCAAATACTTCAATACAAATAGGAAGCATAACAGAACATCGCGGACTTCCTCGGCAGACATCACGCCGAAACTGAACAGACAACATTGCATTTCACTGTTAAAATTGTTTTTTCTAAAATTATGAGATGAATTCGTTTCCGAATTAAAGTAGTGTAGGATATGAGAGATAGTTGCAACCCTTATATAAATAATAAATAAAATAAAATAAATTTCAATTAAATAAAACGATTACAGATTGCTGTTTGCTGTGGGACAGGAAAATAAATTAATCAGCCACATTCATTCGCAAATACAACGCAGTGTTATCTTTTTATGAAATTTACAATAAAGGATGACATAGCAGAGGGTAACCTTCAAGAAATATTATGGAAAAATCAGTTTATGTACGAAGTCAGTTGTATTCACTCTCCATAATTACCTAATTTTTCTGAATATCTATATTGAAAATATTATCTACCAGGCAAATAGAGTTACTTACCGATTAACTTGATCACCAATTTCGCTCAAATCTAACTTGCCTATATTCCGAGGAAGCGAGTCGCCGCCGGACATGGTCGAAACCGATTCAAGGGAACTGTGCGATGCGTTGTTGCCGGGATCTAGAATAAATATAATTCAGTAGCAGACTTATTGTTAGTTATTCAACATCAGTTCGAACGTGACTTCGTATACTAAGTTAAAGCTCATTAAGCTTAAAGTCTTTAGTTTATTTCCGACGAGACTTACCTTTTGCGAACAAATGATTAGTTTGAACGTTTGGCGGTTCTTTGAAGTGAGTGGAATTGCGAGCCGGCGTGTGCTCGAAATGCAAAGTCAATCTATTTCTGCGCGGGGTACTGTTTACTGAAGCGGCTTCCTTCGCGCAGCTGATAGTGGTGTTGGTAGCGTCGCCGTCCACCTTGTCTACCCCGTTCTCTAGCACTGGACTGGCTAGAGACTTGGTGACGAGGCGATGAGCGTTATCTAGAATTTTTATTTATATATGTTCATTATTATGCTTCTCATATAATTATACATGATCAAATATCGTTGTTGTTAAACCAAAACCTGCTATGTGCACTTTTTGAGATTTTTACTTTGTGACTTTTTCGTATAGTTCACAGCCCTATCTACCGTATAAAAAACTGTTATGTGTCTATAAGCTTTAATATTTATGTATAGCTTTCATTTGATATAGTTCTTAAGAATTCACCTTCATATAAAATTTTATACGAAAATGTTTTTACTCGTTAATTCAAAATAGAGTTTTTGCACATACCTAGCAGATTTTGGTTTGACAGCGACGATATGCTGTCTCTCTCTGACAAATGTGTGATCGAGTTTTTTAAGCAATTAGTTTTTGAGATTTTATCGATGTTTCCCGTAGTATAGAAACGTTTTGATATTTTCATAAAATTTACGGTTGACTTACCTAAAACAATAGTAAGCCAGGGCGAATAGAGATGTGCTATCCTCGCACGGCACTGCTTTGATCGATATCGATCATCGTGTTCGTGTTTCGTCAGCAACGTCCTGAGCACGTTCAGAGCCACTCGGCGTTTCTGAGGTGCTTCACGAAGTGACTGTTCCACCTGTTATTGAAATTATTAAAATATTAATGGGACGACCTAATTACACGCGTTTTCGATAACTTTTTTTTTTCTACTATCTTACATGTTTTAGTAGTGTTCCGGCTAGAAAATGTCGCATTATGAAGTCTTCCGTTAATTTTAATCTGGCAGGATCTGAAAATATATTTTTAGGAGCGAAATTATTTTGACGCAAAATTGTAGATTTGGTAATTGTAATTGTAATCACTTCGCTTACCAGTATCACAGTCTTTACCGATCTTATTCGCTTGAAGAGGTAAATTGAAGGGTACGTAATGTTCGTGCAAACAAATTGTCTGTAAGAATGTAAATTTGAAGTCGAACAGAGCTTTGGGATCGCACGCCTTGAACTTGTCGAGGTATTTCTTTATTTGACGAAATACAAATCCACGATCCATGAACGATAAGCAAGACTGTAAATAATATGTTGCGTTTATCAAACTAAAATTAAAATGTTAATAGAACCGATATTCGGAATACGATAAATTACGTTTGATATTTGTAATGCACTAGTGAAAACTGAAGTGTTTTAGTTAATTGACTAATAATTTTATTTGTAACTTTTTATATAAGTTTATCGATATGACACTAAATAAAAAAATGTACAGCGAAAAATGTCTACCTTAAGAAAAATGGCAAGATTTTTATTAAAAATATGAGTCTGCATCGGCTGTTGTAGAATGTACGACGGCTCTACCATCGTGACCAGTTTGTCAATATTCTCTAATAAATCTGAATGAAATCTCTCATTCCTGGACATCTGTAAAATTAATTACTTCAATTCAATTGTTTCGTTTACATTTTTTGTCTAAGCCGGTGCGGTCCATGGACTTGAAATTTTATACACACTCGACTGTACCCGAAAAAGACAAGTGACAGTGCTCGTGATCACTACGACAAAAACCACGATCGAAACTTATGTCGTTCACATTTTTTTAATAGTTGTATACAATGAAACCCAAACAAATATAAAGTGACGCGGGCGATGCTGTTACAAGGGAATACGGGAGGCCTGCGTTTGCGTTACATTGCAGGTTTACGAAATATGAAATAACAATGTTTGTTTTAGTAAATCACTATTCTTTTCCGGGTATAGTACCATACTGTTATTTCGGCTTTGAAAACGGCCCTCTTATTAACTGTATATTTCAAAAAATATTTACAAAAATTTTACATATTTTATTTGTATTTCGTGCATCTCACCTTTATTCGTCCTGTGTTAATTAGATACTGAGCCATACTCTTCACAATGATTTCGAAGAAGAAGTTGGAGTACTGCATGAATTTATGATTTAGCAAAAAATCTTGTTGATTGGGGTCCACAAACATATGTAGAGGCGCTGTTAGAACTGTGTGCAACTTATATTCAAGACAGTTAAAGACATACTGAAAAAAAAACATTTATTTTATTGGTGTCGTTCTTTTGATATCATGAATCTCTCCTTTCTTTCAATGAACGAGGATAGAAATGGTTTCACTGTTTACTTGGTGACTTGTAACAACAAAACTATAAACTAATCACAGAGACCCATAGACATATACATGTTCCATTCAGTCAATTTTATCATAACGATGCGAGTAGCAAGCTCTTACTAGTTTATTAACAAATTCCATACCTTCACATAGCTATCCAACAAATCTTTTCTCCCGTAATCATGAATCAAATGAACGAAGTGAACAATTAATTTGACAATCTGATAGCCCATTTCCGACGTGTAACTCTTTTCAACAGTCTGTAAAACAATATATACATGTCAAAAACTATATTCTTATATTCTATATAACTATATTTTTTTTTTGTGTTTTGTTTGTGTAATCTTTACATACCATCAGTTCGAACAGCTGGTTTAGGATTGTCGGTAAGAAGCCGACAAGTGAGCTGAGTTTGACTGCGTGCGCGGCTTTCAGTGCGTTACAGACGTCATTCCACGGCGGGGGAGAAGGCGACGTGGGAGGGGAGTTACTCTTCACCAATCTCTCCGCATGATTGAACAGATTGTGCAAGTGATTATCCCTGGTTGCGACTGTCGAATCTAGTACTATATGACACCGGAACAGTTGCTTCTCTCCTTCGATCCATACTATTTCCGGTCCGGAATTCCCTTTGCCGAGCCCGAGAGGTTGTATCGATAAATATCCAGACGGCAAATGTGTGGAAACCGGTAGGTTTATAAGCTCATCGACAAATTTATCGTTTTTCAATAGCGGGACCCACGCGTACCTAAGAAAGAAAGTCACGTTAGTGTTGCCAGATGACTGACTAAATGATTTATTATATAACACATTTGAGTGTTGTCTGTTTATAATTCCACTTACCCGATACACGTTTCGACATTCGTGTCGTTTTTCTTGGCGATATCGCAAGAGATGTGGTAGAATGTGAATAGTAAATGATGCTGTGAATTAATTGTGGCGGGCAGACGGATTTTCGCTTCGTCCGACCAGGCCGGATTAGCGTTATGATGTAAAACGCAACATCTGTATTGACTCGTCATTCCTGTGCGGCCATATATTGCCTAAAATTGTTATTGTTGATATGAAACAATTAAAATCAATCTAATATATAAAATTCTCGTGTCACAGTTTTCGTTGCCATACTCCTCCGAAACGGCTTGACCGATTTTGATGAAATTTTTTGTGCTTATCCAGTGTCTATGAGAATCGGCCAACATCTATTTTTCATCCCCCTAAATGTTAGGGGTAGTCCACCCCTAAATTTTATTTTTTATTTTTTAGACAAAATTTTTAATTTCTATTTTTTTATGATACAACATACAAAAATACATACAATCCTCAATTTTCACCCTTCTACGATCAACCCTTATTTTTTATTTGCTAATTAAAAACTTAATTTTTTTTTGCGAGAATTTTATTTTTATTTTGTCATGACGTAGTATAAAAAAAATCATATTACTCTGAAATTTTCACCCCCTACCATCAACCCCTATTTTTTATTTGTTAATTATAAACTTTAATTTTTTTGCCAAGATTTGAATTTTTATTTTTATTTCGTCATGAATTAAAATAAAAAATCTGATGTTACTCTCAATTTTTCATCCCTCTATGATCAACCGCTATTTTTTATTTGTTAATTATAAGCTTTAATTTTTTTGGCAAGTTTTTTATTTTATTTTGTTATGACTTAAAATAAAAAAAATCATATTACTCTCAATTTTCACTCTTATATGATCAACCCCTATTTTTCCACCCCGATTAATTTTTTTTTTTCTATGCACAGATCTGCAATTAGGTTGCAAGATGGCAATCAAATTTTATAATTGTAGTACGATAAATTCTTATTCAGAGTTTATAATTTCAAGTTCCTTTAATTATGATTTTTTTTAAATTGAATTTGATCTCCCGCCCTCGCCGGTCGACTACTAATCAACTATCAATTGATCAGTTATCCCCGCCAGGTGTCACCACTCATCCAGCAAACATCACGTAGTAGGGATGAGGACGAAGCCGGTCTCCTGTCTTACTTACTCACTATACATCATAGACATATACACTTAATATATAATTTGAGAGCTATACAATACTATAAATTTTTCAGCCATGTTTTTTTGGTTTTATTTGTGTATCAATAGTATGTTCAGTAGGTCTGAGAATCGGCTACTATCTATTTTTCATACCCCTAAGTGAAAAGGGTTGTCCACCCCAAACATTTATTTTTTATTTTAATTTTTTGGATATTTTTTTTTGTTTATAATGAGGTATTATGTGGTTAAATGAGGTTTCTACAGNTTCAGTAGGTCTGAGAATCGGCTACTATCTATTTTTCATACCCCTAAGTGAAAAGGGTTGTCCACCCCAAACATTTATTTTTTATTTTAATTTTTTGGATATTTTTTTTTGTTTATAATGAGGTATTATGTGGTTAAATGAGGTTTCTACAGTAGAATTTCCCTAGAAATCTTATTTAAGGCAACACAACGTTTGCCGGGTCAGCTAGTTGTAAATAATAATCATAATGGCTGGGGACAAGTCACGCACAGTCGCCTGGCCCGAACCTAAGATTCCTAGTATTGTGGGAACCAGAGATTGATATACATAGTTATATACGTTTAAATATTATACATTTACAGATATTAAACACCCACATGTACATCATACGAATGTTTGCCTGATGTGGGAATCGAATCCACGACCCTTGGCTCAGCCGTCAAGAGCGCAAACTAGTGCATAGCCGCGTCAGTCTAATAATGAAATGAGACATGAGTGGATGAAAGGGTTAAGTAACATTTTTAAGATTTTTGATTTTTTTTAAATGAATGAAGGTATTATGTGGCTATAAGCCATATTAGACCTTAAAACTGTGGGTTTAAAGGCTATTTTTAGAAATTGCATGTGACGAAGGAGTTATGTTCGAAGAAAAAGTACAAGTAACAAAAGTTTGTTGTCCGTTTTCTCAAAATTAACAAACTGTATGATATCTCCTTCGTCCACTCATGTCTTCAGATATAAGAATACAATTATACCTGTAGCGGTTCATTATCGCCCGTGTCGCTATTCCTGAGTTCGATGGTGCAGGCGATGTTCCTAGCCCTGGCGAACATTTTTTGAGATTCGAAATTCAGAGCGAGCGGTCGCACGTAGAGGTGATGCACGTAGGCCGCGTACGGTTGCTCCGGCTCCACGTTCAGTGTTGCGAGCTCTAGCGTCAGGGGCGCAGCCGGCGGCAGCGGAAACGGCTTAAGGGCCGCGTACGCACTCGTCATACAATCTACATTAAAAAAATATATCGGTTGTCTGTAAAGTCGGTTTACTGACGATAGTTGAACGTGACAACGTCATAAGAAAATACTGATGGAATGATTTCATTTTTCAATTATCGCAATTATCGTTGCTATAAACAATTGACACCACATTCACTTTTCACTGAATTTCATACTTGACGAAAACATGTAAATGTATTATTGTATAGCAGCTGTCCACGCGGATGCATCGCTCACTCAAGGTAACGCCGCATGAGTCATGTTCTTTCGTGCGTGCAGCCGGCTCCTTCGAATTATAAGACGTTGTCACGTCAAAAAAAGAAATATTTTGACGTTTTATTGTCATTGTTGCAACGTCAAATTTTTTGAAATCGTACCTAAGTATAGGTATACTATATATACGTATATACTTTTTTTTTTTTTTTTTTTTTTTTTTTTTTTTTTTTTTTTTTTTTTTTTTTTTTTTTTTTTTTTTTTTTTTTTTTTTTTTTTTTTTTTTTTTTTTTTTTTTTTTTTTTTTTTTTTTTTTTTTTTTTT